AACGACAAGTATTTTGAAACACATAGATGGAGCATCTACAATATTCTTTTATTTCAATTTTTTTAATCCAAAGTTGACTAGTCAGAAAATTAATTAACCTTTACATAATTAAGATTATGTGTGATTTGACCAATTCCTACTCTTGACTTTTACATTTACTAAATATAGAAAAATAAGATTTAAATAATAATTAGCACATGGGAAGTCATCACCACTTTTCCCACCAATATGGAATCCTATGTGATGTTGGGGTATATTCCCTTTTTGACCTTTCCCCATTAGGGTAAAAATTTAGGTTCAACTTTTTTTTAGCTTTTTTAAGCTTATCATTTCATGATTAACTAACAAGCTTTTTTTGTAGGGTAGGTGGATTAATTGAGCTCATATAACTTTTTTTTGTTAGATATGTGTATAATTGACACATTTGTCACATGTGGCACATTTTTTTGCCGAAATTAAAACTCAAAATAAGATTTTGCATAATTTTATATATTCGACTCACACTAGTCGGGCCGATAATGGTTTTACATATTTGCATGAGTCGGTTGGTTGGGTCTGGTCCATAAAAAAAACGACGCGGCACATGAACTACCTTAGAATCAAATTAAACAATTTACTCCATTGGCTATTTATATGATGCATCGGATGAATTTTACTGTTGATCTGCACACACCAGTGTGTGTCTGGTGTATTTCATCTGGTGTAGCACAGTATAAACTTTATTAGTGTGTGTGTTTGACAACAATAAAAAAATATCTTAAGGTACGTAGCGTGGATACGACCACAATACGACCTCGTTTTAGAAGAGCTCGGTATATTTTTTTTCTATAACTAATTAAAGATCATATAAATGTCAATTTTGTAGCTCAAGTGTGATTTTTTTTTTTCGAGTCAGTGAGTTAACTCTTCAATTACACAATTATATTATATATAGTAAATTAAATTATTCATGCAACATTTCTTTTCGTGGATAAGTGTATTATCAATTATTATAATTTATAATAATTATTTTTTTTAAATTAATTTTTGGTGAAGGCCTCAAACTTTTGAATTATGTGTTGTTGATAAGATTACAACTCTTTAAGAAATTTTCCAGTTAGCTAATTAATTCCTAGCACCATTTTTGTGGGCTCCTTTTGATCCCACTACAAGTGTTTCTTCACATGATTTGTATAACATTGTCGAGTGATGGTTGCCGGCGTTTGGCAGAGCTTATAAGTTGTTAAAAATAGTTTATAAGATGTTTAAGAGCTTATTAACTCTTCGAAAGTGTTGGTAATCTTTTTATAAAATATCTTAAATATTCAAAAAATAAGTTGTTGAAGTGAAAATAAAATATTTATCTAAACACTGTAAAAATTAATTCAAAAAAAATAAGACGTAACAACTTATTAATTCTTACAACAACTTATCAAATGTTTGTGCTTAATAGTTAGGGGTCATTACAAATAAGCCTATCAATAAATACTTATTCATAAAGGGATTCAGACAAAAAACTCATTTACTAATAAGTCCATACATGTTCCAGATTTTTGTAAAAGACTAAAATAGCCCCTCATACTTTAATATGCTCCATTTTTATCCTTAACTTAATTTAACCTCAATTTGACCCCAAAATTTCACAAATTATTCAATTTTGAACCAAAATTTTTTTTTGCCACCGGATTCCGGCGTTGACTTTTCCCTTTTTTTTTTCTTCTTCCGGATTTTTTCGTCGGTTTCGGCTTTGACCTGCGGTCAACGACGGTCTCCGGCGTTGACTTTTTCGAGTTTTTTTCTACTTTCAATAACATTTGTTTTTTCGTTTAAACAACAATATTGTTGTGATTGACAGTAATATTAACTATATTACTGTTAAACACACTAAAATTAACTAAACTACAGTTTAACACAGTAATATTGCTATATTAATCTCTAGTACAGTAATATTAACACAACAAAACTAATTATTATTGTGTAATAGTGTAATATTACTATGTTGACTGTTCAACAAATGCCAACATAATAAAAATAATATTACTGTGAGTGACAGTAATATTACTATAGCAACAGTAATATTACCGGCAACCACAATAATATTACAATAATAGACAGTAATACTATTGCATTACCCCGTGAATAACTCAAACAAACAAAAAAATCCAAACAAAATAATAATATTGATGTGGTTGACAGCAATATTACTATAACAACAGTAATATTACCGTCAACCACAGTCATATTATTGTGTTTACAGTAATATTACAATAATAGACAGTAATATTATTACGTTACTCCGTGAATAACTCAAACAAAACAAAAAACCCAAAAAAATAATAATATTGATGTTGTTGACATAAATATTATTGTGTTTACAGTTATTTTACTGTCAACGACAGTAATATAATTACGTTGACTTGTCAACAAATCAAAGAAAATAAAAAAAAATAATAAAAAATAAAAAATAATAATATTACGTTAATTTACTGTCAACGGCAGAACAATTATATAAATATATTGTCAACGGCAGTACAATTACGTTAATTAATTGTCATTGACAGTATAATTACGTTAACTTACTGTCAGTGACAGCGCAATTTCGGTCAACGTTTTGCGGCGGGCGTTAAAAAAAACCAACCAAACCAAAAAAAAACTTTTAAAAACCCTAAAAAAAAGTCAACGCCGGAAACCGGCGGAAAAGAAAAAATAAAAAAAATCAAAAAGTCAAAATTGAATTTTTTTTGGACAAAATTGATTAAATTGGGGTTACAATTAAGAATTGGGTATAAATCGTTGGGGGTAATATTGGCATATACATGAATGTTTCCTTTATTTATAATAAATATTAAAAGGATGGGCTTTTTGGTGAAAAAAATATAGCCCATAAATGTAGAATAATAAAAATACTTGGTTGGAAACTTATGCACAAAGTACCCTAAATGGTTTTTTTTTTTTTTTTTTTTTTTTTTATTTTATTTTAGTAAAAACCCCTAATAGTTAAGTAATACGCATTAAAGTTTACATTGAATTGAGAAATAAAAAATAAAATAAAATAAGAAATAGATGTATAAGTGGGCTATAACTAAATGGGCCTAATAAGGGTTTTCATTATGGGCTCCAATCAGCCAGCTTCAACAGCCTATAACCTCTTCGATATAAATTCTTGGACAATTTTGTCATAGCCTTTTCATTTAATAACTAATTAAATTAACTATAGTTAAGTGACATTTCATTAAAAAATCACCATTCGTCTAAACTCAACAAATATTGGGATAAATATATATATATTTTTTTTATTATCTTTTTGTAATAAAGACACTCAAATAGGTACATTTTTTTTAATTGTAAGGAAGGAACCCAAATAAGTGCAGTTGATAAGCTTACACTATCGTCTCTCGCATAAAAACTTGCAAATCATACGAAAAAATAGGTGTACTAGGTAAATATACACTCTCGTATAATAGCTTGTAAAAACCATACGAAAAACGTAAACCACATTTACACAAGGGTAAATTCCACTTTCTCCCTTTGTACTTTGGCTTGATCTCTATTTATTGCATTTTACTCTCAATTCCATCGCTTTGACCTTATGTACTTGAAAAATTGTCTCAGAGTGGCCCTCCCATTACTTTTTAGACATTTGACATTAACACTGTTTGATCCGAGTCTGAATATTACAAAAAAAAAATCACCCCTCTTTGTTTAAATGATTATTAAAAACATTTTTCATTTAAAAAAAAAATTGTGGTTGTCGTCGTGGACTATGCTTTATCGTTATCTTGTTTTTTTTTTCTTTTTTTTTTAATAACTATTTAAACTTGGAGGGTGGAGTTTTTGTAGTTTTAAAGCTTAAACCAAACAATGTTAAGGTTAAATGTCTGACAACTAACAGCGAAGGCGATATTGAGACAATTTTTTAAGTACACGGGGGCAAATCGATGCAATCGAAAGTAGAAAGGGGGTAAAGTGATATCGAGCCAAAATACAAAGGGGAAAGTGGAATTTAACCTTTACACAATGCGCTAACCATGTGTGACAAACTAGAGTGAGCGACCGTTAGCAAAGCGATTCCAACGTGAATCAATTGAAACAAACTCACTTGCTCTAAACAATAGATCATCCTTGCAGACTGATATGTATATTTGTTTGTGAATGTAACAAAATTAATGTGGTAGGAAGAAAACACATAATATGGCTAATACTATTAAAGAAGAAAAAGAAAAGATTTCATATTAGGGGAAATAAGTGAGGGATATTCGAACACTTTTGAGCTAATTATACTGGACAAAAATGAAGTATCAAATTTTATAATGAAAGCTAGGTACACGACTTTTTCGACCCTATACGCAGTGATAAACATCGGGAGGATTTTCTGCTGCAACGTGTCATTTTCTGTATCGTATAATATATTATTCTATTAGAGTTAATCTGCAGAGGTTTTAGAAAAATACAAAAAAAGATACGTAGTCGTAGAAGAACCATCCAGTGTTTATCACTAGGTGTAGGGTCGAATGAGCGGTAGTTACACATAGGAATTTTTTTTTTAATTTATTTATAAGAAAATGAAATATGGGTATAAAATATAGGGAGATTGCACATCACCCCCTATTAATTTCTTATTTTTGCACTTTACCCCCTCAAATTTTAAAAAAAGTGACTGTCTCCATTTAAAATATTATTCTTATTGCACACTGTCCCGATAGTGAAATTCTGATGGATTATTCATCGGAATAGAGTTCTCTTCATAAAACATTGCCCCTTTAGATATTATTTATGTTTTCACGTTGCTCTCTCAAATATTATTTTCCTACACATTGCCCTTTAAAATGTTATTTTTACTGCACACGATGCCCACCAAATATTGATTTTTGTGGCAAAGTGCAACAAAACCAATACTTATAAGGGGGGTTTATCCGTTTTTTGAATTTTTAAGGGCAAAAGTGCGAAAATGAAAAATTTATAGGGGTGAAGTGCAATAAATCCCCTTGTGGAAAGTGGAAACTCCACAGTGGCAGTTCTGGTAAATAAAGAAACCCCGAAGGACAAACATGTCAATCAACATTCTGAAATCAAAACCTCGACTAGGGTTTTGCCTGAGTTGAATCTGTTGTCGTTAATCCAAAGGTTACCCATTTTCCTGCATATTTCTGCTTTCCTGTTGAATCTCTTCCCCTTATGAATGCCAGGTTCTGATTCGTAGAGAGAGAAAATGCAATCGATGTGTGGAAAACTGCGTCTCGTTGCGAAGCAAGCATTCAACAATCTGAAGAATGCTGAATTGAAACCAATCGCATCCTTTGATTCGAAATTATTCGGTTGTTCGATTCCTTCGTCGGCGTTCAACAGCTCTCACCGTTCTAATTTTGCCTCGGAATTGCTTCTGGTATGTAATTTTTAATTTTTAATTTTTTTTTTTGGTATAGGGTTTGAAAATGTTCGTCGTGTTCTACTATTGGGTGAATTAGTTTCTAGAGTTTGCATATGGGGATTTGATGATCTGGATAAATTTATTGGTGTTGCACATATAATTTTTAATGCTGCAAACATATAACGAAGACGATTGCCCAACTCGAAGCTAGTTATTCTAGCTTGAGGAATCATACTAGAAGTTATTAAATTCAAATTGACGAAAGAAAGAAAGGGAAATCACGATTTGAGATGATGAAGTGAGTCGATTCTCATATTTCTTAATTTGTTGGATTTTGGAGCTTTGCATTTTCCGTGAAAAAATTAAGGTGAAGAAATGTACAAGCAAGATTAGGTTTATTACGCTAGAGCTAGAAGCTAACGATCGGCCTCGTTTTTTTTTCTTCCTTCGTTATACCCTTTTACCGCTGAATATGAGTTGTTGATGTAGTACAAGATTAAAGGTTGAACGGACATACTAATGTTGCGGGTGGCAAGAACCCACCGGAGAAAATTGACGATCTTGAATTTTGACTTTTATGGTTTTGGTCAATGGTGGAATTTGTATCTTTGATTGTTTGGATGAGGAATGGAACACTCTAAATATTAGTTGATGCAAAATGTTTGACGTCTTCTTGCTTGTTACTATATATATTCGTATTCTATGTTCTCATTGTGGTATGAACATCCACATATAACATGTTTTGTCTCGTTTTCCTCTGGTCATTTTTTGTGTGTTTAATTCTGATTAAATCATAATTCTCATGCTCAGAGCAAGAATTTCGGAACTACGAGTTGCGGTATACCTTCAGCCTTGCGATCTTGCGGAGGTCTAAGCTTGGCTACGAATCATTCGGTTTCTTCAGTACTCACTTTGCCGAATAGGAATATGTCAACATCAGAATCTACTTCTCAAGATGTCTCTGTTTCGTCTGACGTGCCACCTCAGCGCATAAAATTCAAGAGGCTCGACAAAACAGCACGGCACATAATGCAGGCAATAATGATTTGTTTCATTTCCCTCTTTTCAATTAATTTTTTCTTCGTTGTATAGTAGGTTATTTTCATTTGCTTTGTGATGGTTTTAATTCGTAGAAGGCAATTTGCAGATAATTGATAAAGAATCGGTTGAGGAAGTAAAAGCAGCCAGAGAGATGCCTGTGATAAAGCCCGGTTACACTGTTCAGCTGCGAGTGGTATTAAGAAAAATTCTCCGAGAAACTCGTCTTTTTGTTAATTTATTATTTTGCCTCTGCTATATCATTAATAATTAATAAACATAACTTTATAAGGTTTCTTACTTGTTCGAAATGTCGCGATCTTTTCATTACAGGAAGTACCGGAAAACAAGAGGCGTGTGACAACTTTAAAAGGGATTGTTATAGCTATGCGCAATGCCGGTTTGAATTCGACATTCAGGATTCGACGGCTCGTCGCCGGGGTCGGCATAGAATCGCTTTTCCCGCTGTTAGTATTCTTTCCAGCTTTTAGTACTGCAATTATTGTTCTTTCTATTGGATTTTGAAAGTATATTTAAATCTGCACTTCTCTACTGAAGCTTCTATTTGGTGATTTCTTGAATTCTTGATTTTCCTTATCCTTCAGTATAATAGGCCTTATAAGAAACAAAAACTGGAGAATGTGAGTGGGTTAAATTTTGGATGCGCCATATAACCTATTTTTTTAACCCCCTCGATTTTGAGATCGCATCACCAGAAAGAAAAACAAAAAAAAAGATAAATTATTAGTTCGTCAAATGACCTAACCATCTTATTCCTTAGTTCTCATTCTTCTTTTTTGTTTGTGTCGAAAACATCATTGTTTTGATTGATTAAAAGAATGACGGGTTCATGAAAAAATCAAACGGAAGTTTGAACTTCGTTCGACTAGTCCAGCATTTGTAATAGTTGCCAGTTTATATCTGTATCTGCATGAAATAATACGACGAACGATGGCTAATCGAGTATGGATACTGACAGGTATTCTCCAAATATTAAGGAGATTAAAGTGCTGGACAAGAAGAAAGTGCGGAGGTCGAAGCTCTATTACCTGAGGGGTAAAATGAACGCACTTAAGAAGCAATAAAATTCCTCTTTAGATAAATGGATATATAAAAAAAAAAAAAAAAAGGTACGTCTACCGAATCGACTGATGATGGGCTCTCGAAGGATCTGGATTTTAATCTTTTTTTTATGTATGTTTGTTTCCTGTTAGTCGACATTTTGGGGAAACCAGAGATTGTTACGTTACAGGCTGTCGTTTTAACGCCACTACTTCGAAAATCGAGTTTACAGAGCCATCCATTTTTCTAAGTATGTATTGCACACATGAGTTGTTCTAGGACTTTTGCTTTTATGGCTTTATTATTTTGCAATTTGCAATTTGCAATTTGCAATTTATGTTTTTTTCCATGTGAATTGTGATGGTGGCTTTAATAATTCTTGAAATGGCGTTTTTGGTTTCACGAGTTTCGGATTCTTTATTCAACTTTTTTTATTGGAAACACGCTTTTCTTGATGGTGCTAGTATATTCACTTGTTACGGTGAATGTCGTGGAATTTAATTTTCAATTTTGTGTAATTAAGATTAAAGGTGATCCAATATACAATTATACCACCCTATTATTTAATTAGAATTAAAAAAAAAAAATCAAATTTTTATGGCTATATAACTGCCACCTTCGAGATAAGGTTAAATTATGAAAAAAAATTCATTGTTAATTACAATCCATCTCAACTATGAATCATTTTACAAGTTTATTACCGTGGTGTTAAATTTAACAGAATCTTCTAGATTTCAGGGAATATTCTCTTTTATCAAATTAAATTTACATGAGGTAAAGTGAGAAAAACGTGGGTTTGATTCTCTTGTTTGTACTTGTTTTATGAAGAAAAAAAAAAATAGTTTCAGATACCCTATAATCTGTATTTACAAGTTAAGACACACATCTTATAGTCATCTAATTTCAAAATGTAGAGCTGTTAATGGGATAAAACAATTGCAAACTAGAGAATATTTCACATAATCTAGGGGATTCAGTTAAATTTGGTACACTATAAGGATGAATATGTAAGACGATTCATAGGTAAAGGGTGCATGTGATTGTAAAATATGAAACAGAAAAAGAATTCTTGTAATTTTACTTTACCTTAAAAGAGTTACCCAATTTTTGTAGATCACACACTACATTTTACAATGACATCATTAAAATCTTGTTGTTATATGGAGATGAAGCCACATTTGTTGTTGTCTCCATAAGTTGTGTCAAATTTTGTGTAAATATTAAAATCTAGATTCCCCTTTGGATCTTTATAGAAGATTGTTGACTTTCCCCACACATTGCTTACTATTTACAAATACCCCATTAGTAATAAAAACCCTTTTAATTAATAAAACGATAAATAAATATGTTAAACAAAATAAAAAAAATACTTGCCCCCACATGGATTATATATGTGACACAATGTCAAACTACAAATAGCGTGGGTTCGAGTATTGTCGGTTTAAATTTAAATATATATTTTAAAAGACAAATTGTTGTAATTTTTATCTTGGGTAATTATCATTTAACACCCTCGTGGTTTGAACTTTGTGGATATAACCCATGTATTTTTAAAATAAGTACATAAGCTTCTATGATATTCCACTTCGTAAATAATCATGCGCATCAGTAAGATGATTTTTTTTTTAAAATACAAGGGGTTATGTGTTTATATTAAAATCCAAGGGGGTCATTTGCTATATTAAAAGTACAAGAGGATCATGTGCACAAAATTCAAACTACAGGAGGTGAGTGTTATTTATACCCTTTATTTTTTTAAAAAAATTTGAAAGTCAATTTCAAAATTCCTGATTTTGGTATACTATTTTTCATTTCGAATTTCGGAAGTCTTGCCATTCGATTTCCGATTCTTTTTTTGGGAATATAATCGGAACACATGTAGATTCCGATTTTCGTTCTGATTTTAGTTTCCGAAAATATCTCTTTAAAAAATGATTATTTCTCAAAAATTACATAATATTCAATATTTCTATAAAATAGAATATCCGGATTCCAGCGATCCGATTCATAAGTTTCGATTTTGGAACAATTTTGTTTTTTGAATTCCAATTTCCGATTTTCCCTAACAGATTCAAAACTCATTTCCATCTACCGAAAAACAGAATTTCTTCGACAGCGTCAAATTCGATCCGATCCGTCTAATTTCCTCTTGTAATCGGAGATATTTTATTTTTTTCATACATAGAATTACTCCACCAGCATTAAATTATACATGTGTGCTATTTCATTTTATAATTACTTTGACTTTCCAATTATTTCATATAGAATCGGAAAATAGGAGAAAATAAAAAAATAATATAATAAATAATAAATAATAAAAAGAAAAAAAGAAAGAGTCCTGAGTTGGAAAGAGTTAATTTAGCTGATTCGGCTTCGTCTGCCCTCCTCTGATCCCAAAAGCGTATACAAAGAGAAAAGCTTTTTTTTTTTTTTTTTTTTTTTCACATAATTTTCGTACCAACTTTTGATAATAAGTTTTTGATTTTGGCATTCAAATCCTCTGGAAAATTGATGTTTCACAGCTGACACGTTTATATTATTACTATAATTTTTTTTATTTTTTTTTATTTAAATTTTTCTCTCACAGCCGCAAATTGCTGCATGTGTTGATTTTTTTATTCGATTCGATTGTCCAATTGGCGGAAATTCTCAGTTGAATTCGCCGGAATTCTGATTGCTGAATCTGAATCTAAGTGGTTTGTTTTTTTGGGGGTTTTTTTGAATTTAATTTTGTTTGATTAATTGAGTAGGTAAATGGCACCGGACTCGGCGCCGGAACCCGACCCGGACGATTCCGACTCCGAACCCGAGTTCGTCGAGGTTGATCCCTCCGGTCGCTATGGAAGGGTTCGTATATTTCTGCAGTTCATCTGATTTTTTTTTTATTTTTCTTTAATTTTTTTTCCCCAATATTTATTAACTTATATTGTAGCAAGTATTCGTTATTCTAATCGTGAATGGCGTTCGATTTTGTAGAGAAATCTGCGTTTAGTTTTGTTTTCATTCTGCCCCAATTTTGAAAAAAATCGGTTTACTAAGTTCGTTTGTTTCCTGTTATTCATTCCTTTTGCAGTATAAGGAGATATTAGGTAAAGGAGCTTTCAAGAAAGTGTATCCTAATTCCTGATTTTCTGTATTGTTTTTTAAATATAATTTGAGTACATAATTCATTCTCTGTGTCGCCTTAATTCTGACGTTGGTAACATAGATATCGAGCGTTTGATGAACGTGAAGGAATTGAGGTGGCTTGGAATCAGGTTAAAGTTGCTGATCTCTTGCGAAACGCAGTGGATTTAGAGCGATTGTATTCCGAGGTTCACTTGCTAAAAACCCTTAAACACAAAAATATTATCAAATTCTACAACTCGTGGGTTGATACGAAGAACGAGCATATCAACTTCATCACCGAAATTTTCACATCCGGGAATCTGCGACAGTACGTTAAGATTCACACACACTCGTTTTAATTTATTTATATTTGGCGAAACGTGGTTGGAGTTAGTTAAATGCGTCTGTATAATCTGTATAGGTATCGAAAGAAACACAAGCATGTTGATGTGAGGGCTTTGAAGAAATGGTCTAAACAAATACTAGAGGGGCTTTTGTATCTACACAGTCACGACCCACCAGTTATTCATCGTGATGTGAAATGTGATAATATATTTGTTAATGGGAATCAAGGGGAGGTGAAAATCGGTGATTTGGGACTTGCTGCTATACTTCAGCAGGCTCGTTCGGCTCATAGTGTTATAGGTAAGGTTCGATTTACGAGTATTCACTGTAAGAATGTGGTTTTTTTTTACGGAGATTTAATGAATTGTGTGGCGTGGTTTAATACTAGGCACACCTGAATTTATGGCACCGGAGCTTTATGAAGAGGAGTATAATGAACTTGTTGATATATACGCCTTTGGTATGTGCTTGCTGGAGCTAGTCACCCTTGAGTATCCGTATATTGAATGTGCAAACGCTGCTCAGATATATAAGAAAGTGACGAATGTAAGTTGTTCTCGACTTTTGAAATATCTCCTGTTTCGTTTTTAAATATCTATCGAAGCCTACATTTACTCATGAAGGCAATAATGAGTCACTGTAATCAAAACATTTTTAAGATTTCGATTTTCAGAACCAAGCCTGCATTTACCTATATATCTGAACATGTTATCATTATTTTGCTTAAACTGAAGGGAATCAAGCCTGCGTCATTAGAAAAAGTGAAGGATCCTGGAGTTCGGAAATTTATAGAGAAATGCATATCGAGAGTCTCTAATCGATTATCGGCCAAAGAACTATTAATGGACCCATTTCTACAACCAGATGAAGATTCGGGGAGTATAGGTCGTTCGCTACTGCCACAGTCCTCAAATGCAAATGCAAATGCAGGTGAACTTTTTGCAGGATTTATTTACTCGTTAATTGCGGGAATCAATCATTATTTTCGTGTTTTGTGACATTTTAAATTAATTTGCAGATGATAATGGCAAACAACATGATACCGGAAAAGACACCGTGTTTGAAGGAAGTCGGGATTTCATGTTACAGGGCCAAAGGAAAGACCAGAACACAATATTTCTGAAGCTTCGTATAGCAGATTCATCAGGTTCTTGATTCCGTTTTTTTTTCCTTTCTGTATTTGGTTCTTGTTTTTAATTTAGTTTAATGTCATGTTTATGGGTTTAATCAATCTTATTTTTCCTTATTAATTAGCTCAGGCCATGTTCGAAACATCCACTTCCCATTCGATATCGAGGTGGACACTTCGACCGATGTTGCTAGTGAAATGGTCGAAGAGCTGGATTTGACGGACCACGATGTGACCGTTATTGCTTCAATGATAGATTCTGAAATTAGATCCCATATCCCCGATTGGGCACCGAAAGATTCCTCAAGCAACAACAACAACACTATTGCTGGTCGAGCAATTCTTGAAAGTGTTTGCGTTTCCCCCACAAAAGAAGATTCTTCTAAATTGGACCCGAATTTGCAATCACCTGTTATCAGTCATAACGATGATGATTCTGATCACGAAGCCAATGATTCAGTATCGATCGAAGAAAATACAGTGCCGAGTGAGAGCGAAACCGACTCACAAGAAATCGAAACTATTGTCAAGAAACTCGAGTCTGTGTTCGATAAGCAGATGAAGGAGCTAAACGAACTTAAAGAGAAGCATGAATTAGCTGTTTTGGATTTTCTAAAAGAGTTCCCACAGGAGACGCGTCAGAGGGTTCTTAGTACATGTAACCGGAAGATGGCTGAAAGTAAAGACCGTTACTAATATTATTTTTTTAAATCAATCTTGATCGATGATGTAAGTCTTTACAATCTGAATTTGTCAAACTGTGGCAGTAAATATATCTCTAACAGTGTTTATTCATCGTAATTGATGAAGGTTTGTAGAGAATTCCGAGTGATTTTGTTCGTGTTGAAAGTCCGGTTGAAGGGAGATTGTGTGGAGTTGACGAAGCTTCGTTGATTATGGATCCGGTAAGCGTGAGATTGTGTTGTTCAAGTATGGATATGATTTTCTTTTTATTACACATTTTTTTTACATAGTGAATAGGTTCTTTTGTTTTTCTTTAAAACAGAGATGTACAGATTCATGTTTGTTTTGTTAACACAATACAGTTTATTTTATTTTTGGTTTTTATAAGCTAAAGTTTTTGTGCCTCAAGAGTGCATGCATGGCACGTGCTGCCACATAGGTTTGGTGTGGATTTTGGACATTAAATTATTGTAACCAGAAAGGTTTAAATTGATTTGATTTATATTAAAATTTCTTTTGTTTCACAGTTATATTAAGCCTTTTGTTCATGAAATTCCGTTTCATGTAATATTACTTGGATGATTAACTATGAGATGTGATGAATGTCGTTTCAGGTTTAATAATACTGATTCAACTTTAAATGTGATTTTAACAATTTTTTAGTCTGAATTAGGTAAAATGTGTAAAATGTAAAATACAAAATTTGTAGTTCTTCGAGTTAGGTTTTTTATTCAACTTAAATTAACAAGATTGGATATCATATGAGAAAGTTATTCATGAATTAATGAGCGCTGCACACAAATTTGATAATTTGAATTATTTAAAACTCCTTCGTGCATAACTTTATTTCCCGATATCCAAATTAGTTGACTCAGGTTGAATTAGAAAGCTAATGTAAGAGCTACAATTTCCATGTTTCGTAGTTAGCCAAAATTCATAGTTCATGTCATATACAACCCTCTATATTTAGGGTAAATTACAATCGCCCTATGAGTTAAAGTCTGTTTACAAAGCAACCCATTGTTGCTTTGTAATTTCTTACATTAACATCATTTTGTAGGGAGCGCATGTAAGAATGTTACAAACATCCAGGGTCAGGATGTAATTTCCAAAATATGAGATTTTTTTAGTAATTTACCCCATTTCCTTTATTTATCATATTTTGGCAGGTTGAAAATGAAATTATATAATAAAAAGGATAAATTCCACTTTCTCTCGTTGTAATTTGGTTTTGATATCACTTTATCATATTTTGGTTGATTGAAAATGAAATTATGGTGGTGTTTGCAAAAGAGTTTTTAAAAGCAAAAGTTATGGATTGTGAATTAAGTTGGTTTTAAGTACTTACTTTTAAAAGTTGGAGGTGTTTGCAAATTTATTGAAAAATAAAGTTAAATAAAAAAAGCAGAATTATGATTGGTTAATAAATTATAGTTTTTTTTTTTTTTTTTTTTTTTTTTTTTTTGAGTAAATTCAAGTCCATTACAAGGGGAAGTAGGGGAGGGGGGACTCGAACCCTAAACCGTTACCCTATTGGTAAAGGCTAGGTACCAACTCTCCTAATGAGAGTTGGTGTTAATAAATTATAGCTTAAACTGCTTATTTTAAAAGAAAAAAAAAGTAAAATTTCATTTCGCAAACACTTAAAAAATTAAATTAAACAATTAAATTTCATTTGCAAAAGTTCTTCCGAACACAACCTATATATAATATATATATATAAAAGCCTAAGTGGTAATAAATTATACACGTGGCAGCACGTGAGACAAGTAGCACAAAAACCCCATACCCCCAATTACTCAGTTAAAAAGAAAAAAAAAAGATGGATAGAAATGAGACGAGAGGCTCTCTTTTCTTCTTCCTTCAGATAAACACACACACACTCTCCACTGTGTGTCTGTGAATCCCCACTTTCTCTCTCTTCTCCCTTTCTCTCTCTACAGCCATGGCCTCCATCACTTCCACCTCGACTACCGCCGCCGCCGTTGCGAAACTCACTCACCTATCCACCACAAACCCCAATCCCTCAAAACCCACCAAAATTATCCTATCCTCTTCCTTCACTCCATCCTCCACAACCCTCTTCCTCCACCCCACCACCACCGCCGCCGCCGCCGCCACCCCCCTCCGCCGCTTCTCCGTCCGCGCCGCCCGCGGCAAGTTCGAGCGGAAGAAACCCCACGTCAACATCGGCACAATCGGCCACGTCGACCACGGCAAGACAACCCTGACCGCCGCCCTCACCATGGCCCTCGCCTCCCTCGGCAACTCCGCCCCCAAGAAGTACGACGAGATCGACGCCGCCCCGGAGGAGCGCGCCCGCGGCATCACGATCAACACCGCCACCGTCGAGTACGAGACCGAGAACCGCCACTACGCCCACGTCGACTGCCCCGGCCACGCCGACTACGTGAAGAACATGATCACCGGCGCCGCCCAAATGGACGGAGCAATCCTCGTCGTCTCCGGCGCCGACGGCCCAATGCCCCAGACCAAGGAACACATCCTCCTCGCCAAACAAGTCGGAGTTCCCAACATGGTCGTCTTCATGAACAAGCAGGACCAAGTCGACGACGATGAACTCCTCCAATTGGTCGAATTGGAAATCCGAGAACTCCTCTCCTCGTACGAATTCCCCGGCGACGACATCCCGATCGTCTCCGGCTCCGCCCTCCTCGCACTCGAAGCCCTAACCGCAAACCCTAAAATCAAAAGGGGCGAAAACGAATGGGTCGACAAAATCTACGCCCTAATGGACGAAGTCGACAATTACATCCCTATCCCTCAACGACAAACCGAATTACCGTTCCTGATGGCGGTGGAGGACGTCTTCTCCATCACCGGCCGAGGCACCGTCGCCACGGGCCGAGTCGAGAGAGGCACCGTACGCGTCGGCGAAATCATCGACCTCGTCGGTTTAAAAGACACGAAAAGCACCACCGTGACAGGTGTCGAAATGTTCCAGAAGATTCTCGACGAAGCCCTCGCCGGCGACAACGTAGGGTTACTTCTGAGGGGTGTACAGAAAATCGATATCCAGAGAGGGATGGTTCTGGCGAAGCCCGGTACGATTACGCCGCACAAGAAGTTTTCGGCGATTGTTTACGTTTTGAAGAAGGAAGAAGGCGGGAGGCACTCTCCCTTTTTCGCGGGGTATAGGCCGCAGTTCTATATGAGGACGACCGATGTGACCGGGAAAGTGACGAGTATTATGAACGATAAAGACGAGGAATCAAAGATGGTTATGCCGGGGGATCGTGTGAAGATGGAAGTCGAGCTTATTACGCCGATTGCTTGCGAACAAGGGATGAGATTCGCTATTAGGGAAGGTGGCAAGACTGTCGGCGCAGGTGTCATTCAAGCCATTATCGAGTAGAAGGGTATTTTGGTAATTTACACTAGTGAGTAAATGTTGAGCTTTTGCCTGATTTTGATCGATTTTATGTTGTGCTTATGGCCGCAAGATCTTCTGTTAATTGTCGTATATGATGGATCGGAGGGTTTGGTTTTGTGTTGATTGGCTTATGCATTAGTAGTGTATTAGTTTCGGTGACGAACATTTTCAATGAAAAGTTCTACTTTCGTTCCGTTTGTTTGTGATGTATTCGAGCGATTAATATTTGATTATCTGTCGAGGAAATCGGAGTTTCTGTTCTTGTATTCATTCATTTTTTTTTGCCGTCTCGAGAACTTAATGATGACTACGTCGATCTTTTCGTATGAATCTTGATTTGATGATGCACTTATGAACAACACTCTTTGTTTTGTTTTTTGCCCGATCGTGTCGAATTTCGTGTTGGGCTTTATGGCTGAAAGATCTTCCGTTAGTTGTCGTATATGATGGATCGGAGTTTTTTTTTTTTGTTTTTAGCTTATGCACTAGTATATTGGTTTCCGTAAATGACATTTTGATTTAATGATTCGACTCGACGAAAATTCTACGTTTTGTTTGAGCAATTCATATCTGTTGGGAAACGGGATTTTTTTATGTTTCCTGCAATTTGCGATGATTTGATCTTATTCAAATTAGATTGCTTCGTCTCAGACAATTTAATGAAGGAGATCGGTCTTTTCATTTGAATCTTGATTTAGCAATTTGATTTGTATGTTGACAGTAACTCGAGTAGTAGCGACACTATTGCCAGTCGAAAGAGATTCGTAATTTTTGCCGGTTTCTAATTTGAATTTACGGCAACTCGTTTTATTTTATTTTTTCCGGACTATATTAACTTAAATGTGTTTCTTCCAATTGCTAATTACTCTAGTGAGCCAACTACTGAATCCAGGTCTATTAGATGCTCTAAATTAGGGTGACCAATCCATTCATTTACACACAAACACACACACACACACACCAATGTGGGTGTGTGTATAAATCATTAGGAAAACAGCTGATGAAGATCTGTTGAATTTCTCAGCATCTGACATATTATATTTATCGTGTTCAATTTAAATGTTACAGTTTATATATCTATATATATATAGATACACCAATGATAAAACCTGGTGGCTAACTTGTAATAATTTGTGTAAATTAAGGTTCTCCGAAAAGCGCTAAAAGATAGTCGAAAACAGAAGCTCCTGAACAAAAGCAGCTTGCTTCTTCCTCTCCTCGTAGTCTTCTCCTTCGACTTTGTCAGGACAATCTGTTTTACTGATGCAAGAACAATATGATTAAATACGATTATCGTTTTTTCTTTTTACGAGAAAATAAGTGTCCGTATATATAAAGCTACGACGACCAATTTTGGGATTTGATAAACTCACCTCTCTGCATCACGAGTTGCAGCAAAACTCGAGGAAATTTCTTTCCTACTGTCTTTAGGGGCTGTCGCAGGCACGGTGCAGAGAAACGGAGAAAGTAGTGGATCATGGCCCGATTCATTCAAATTGCCAGGCCCGGTGATTGAGTTATTACCAAGAAACGAACTTAATTCCCGTAAATCCTTTACGAAATTTGTCGGCACATTACTCCAAAATCCAGACTTCTGAGATTTTTTCCTCCTCTGAGAAAATAATAAAAAAATAAAAATCAAGACTTAATAATTAATTCACATCACATAAGAAAATGAAAAAAAAAAAGGCACACCTTAATCGAATGTGCATGTTGCACCATGAAATGACCGAGCGCGTCTTTCCCTAAGTTCGCTGCACATATCGGACAAACCTGTAATAGAAAGAAAGAAATACAAAAGTCGAGAGTGAGTGCGAAAACGTAATTTTTTTCCCAATGCGTATGTACTGTAAACCGTGAACTGGATCGAACCGGCCCATGGCCATGTATATATTTACATCCAGTTTATCAAGAAGAAGGAAGAGAAACAAGACACTATAAGTATAAGCAATCAAATTACGGCGTTTTTCAAGTCGAAGCAGTGTTCTTGTTGAAGATGGATACAAAGCAACGGAAGTTCGATTTCGACGTAACAAAAAGGGCAAGGAAACCAAGCTCCAACTTCATCACCACCTTCACCTTCAATTAGCATATGATTACCTATTCAATTAATTAATCAAATTAATAAATAAATCACCATCACAACCAAATATTAATTGCATAAGAATGTGACAAATTAAATTCAACATTTTGATCCTTTTCAAAATTTTCTCATTCCCTAAATTGCCCCTAACATAAATCAGATTACATCATATACAGATCAGTAATAATTCAGTTCATATATCTAAAGAACTGAATTTTATCAAGAAAACAAATTTGAAGTAATGCCCATAATTTTTTTTTCTGGGATAAAATCAAGAATTTAAATATTAATTGAAAAAAAAATCAGAAAAAACCCACAAAATATTAAAGAAAATAAGCTTAGAATTTAGAAAAAAAAAGAATCAATTTTATTTATTTATTTAATTACCAGAGTTGGTAAGCATAGTTGTTGATTGGCTATGAACTCTTGCAGCCCAGAAATCTATATCCATTTTCCACCTCTTTTTCTTGAGAGAGAAAAAAAAAAGAGAGAGAGAGAGAGAGAAGTAAATCAAGAACAGAATATAATATGTAATAAATATTGGAAGATTTAATGAAAGAAGAATGAATGAAAAAGAACTGTTCTTTGTACTGAAGAGCAGTGTGCTGCTGTGGTGTGAGTGATACTGGTTTTTATGACATTTTTTTTGTGGAAGCTTTTCTTACACACAATAAAGCTAGTAAATAGATAGCTGACACGTGGCGTTTGCTACAAGAAATTGTTCATTGAATCTTTTTGGACCCTTCATTTTTTCTTTCTTCTTTTCTTCAACTCACCACTTTTTTCTTTAATTACTTTTTCTTTTTTAATGTTGATGAGGTATTAATAGTTCCAACATGCTTTCAATTTAAAATTAAAAATCTCAATATTATTATGTATTTTATATTGTCGGTGATCCAAAATTGGAAAATTTTGATTCATATTCGAAGATTTTTGATTTATGAACAATTTTTTTCGTTCCGATTTCCGAATTTCCAATTTGTTTCTGGTTTTTTTCGGAACGGAATTGAAACTAGTTTTTAGCTTCCGAAAAAAAATCAGAACATTGTCGAATGACTAATTCCGATCTGATCCGTACGATTTACACTCTTATTCAGAAGAAACAAGAAAAAATAAATATGCGAATTGTTTATAATGAATAAAAAAATTAAAAGAAAAGCTATGATGTGTGATGCATATATAAATAATTAATAAAGTTTATAAAATAAATTAAAACAAGCAACTTATATAAATTAAGCAAAAAGTATGTGGCACACCTAAAAGTTTTTTTGGAAAGTAATAATAAAAAAAAATAAAGGTTGTGCAAATGGACAACCTAACAACAAACAATAGCACTAGCAAACACGTCGGACCAGCTCTTAATTATTGTCAAGAATTGTGACTTTGTAGATATATAATTTTATGTACAAAACGTGGGCCAATTTTGGGACTTCTTTATTTAAAAAAAGAAGAAAGAAAAATGAAAATAAAGATGAAAATTAAAAGGATCTTTTTTTTCAAAGATGGTAATGTATAAATTTATGTGTGAAGTACAAATTGGTGACATGTCATGTAGTTTGTGAGCTACTTGCATGAGCATTAGCGGAGTCTAGGATTTTAAGTTCGGAGATCGAATGCATTAAAAAAAACCGGAAGAGGGACTGCCGATTCCATTCAATTGCCAACACGTGGCAGATCCATATTGATGATTCACTTAACTGTCCAATACGGGATAACAAAAATTCCAAATTTGTAAACCATTGACCTTTACCATATTAAATAGATATGGGACTTGGTTTGCACCTCAACAATCCTCCCTTCGAACAAAAGGACCACACACAGATCGGACCACAAAGGAGCACCGAGCCTCGTTGGACTTACCATCTTTGTTCACGCACCAAGCCTTGAATAAAGGACCACCGAGCAAGGCTCACCATCTTTATTCTGCACTATCGGAACACCGAGTCATTTGGCATTCACGCAACGGTAGCTCGCCATATTTGTTCGGCACTGAGAATTTCGACAATTTTCACCACATCGATTCCGGAAATTTCCATCACATGGGTAGTTCTGAGCCATGGTTCTGATACCAGTATTGGGGGCCCACAGGATAGCACAAACTTCACATTGTAAACTATTGACCTTCTTCGTATTAAAGTTTAAACCGATGTGAGACTTAATTTGTAAATTTAGGTATAAAGGGAGCATTTGAGGAAATAATTTTATTTCAAATAAGGCGCAATTTCGAAATTCATCTAATGACTCAAATATTTAATTAATAAAATGTAAAATTATCGTGAAAATGAATTTATCCAAACAAGATGATTAATTTACTTATAAACCTAAACTTAAACATTCAACATTCATACACAGATCTTAACCGTTTAGATACGTATTCAACATTCAATGTTCAATGCTTAAATTTATTAAACACAATCTTAGGTAATTGTTGACGTCTCTAACTAATTTCAATCCAAATTATTTTCGGTAATTGTTGGAATAATGCCGGTTGAACGAAACAATGGGCGGGTTGAGGCGCGGACAAATCATGCTCATGATAAGACGAATTCAAAACCCCTTGTCTCGATCATAGTTAGTATCCTTAAAACACAAAATATATTTGGATATAAAATTTGCAGATATCTCTCGATCCAAAATTATTAAAAGAGTTTGAAATATTTAAATTGAGAATTAAAGGGGGAAAAAAGTAAAAATGTTAAATTTCAAATACTAATTAAGATACTGCAAAACAAACTAAAATCTCTCCTCAAATTTCTAACACACACATTAACAACCAAAAAGCTAATCTACATGAATAACACAGTACAACTACTACAACTACAGATTAAACAAAAAAAAAATCCAATATATATATTAAGACAGAAATTAAAAAACTAATTAAGTAGTACGCAGTACTAGTGATCGGACCAGGAGTGCTTGATTCCCCCTCGCATTAATTAAATGATCATCCAAAATAATTGATGATTAATTTTGTTTTTATGTCTGAAAATGAATCACCCCATATCGAGAAAACTGACTCTGAACGAAGCTCGGTTTCTTGATGTATTGCAATACGAACAATACTTATAATCTTGGCCGCAATATTGAAGCTGCAGTAGTAGCACCGATCTTTCCGTACAACCACCCATGGTGCAACGAGCTATACGTATTAGAATTGTTGCATAGAAACTATATATACTAAGAAACCCTTATAGTATATTGTTGCATATGTATTGACACACACTCACACACATTGTAGACATCAAGAAAGTGTGTTTCTACATGCCTATGTTTAGTGTATATATATAGTGTATGAATCCCTAAAATCTCTTTCTCTCTCTCTCTCTCTCTCTCTCTCTCTCTCTCTCTCTCTCTCTCTCTCTCTCTCTCTCTCTCTCTCTCTCTCTCTCTCTCTCTCTCTCTCTCTCTCTATAAATATATATTCCGCATGCAGGGGTTTGGTCTTTAATGAACAGTGAAGGGCACGTTTCAACAGAGACAGTGAAAGGGGGGCAACAAAGGAAGAAATAAATTAAAAGTGAATTCTTTTTTTCATATGTTTGTTGCCCTAAAGTTAGGGTTCTTTATTAAAGTGGGATTTGTAAGAGAAATTCCAAATTAATCCCATTTTTTGAATTATATATAAATTGCAAAAAAGGGTCTTTCTCTGAGCTGTTTTTGCAATTTTTTGCCTTCTTTTTTTGGTTAAAGTGTTCTTGCAAAGGAGAATTGTCGTCTATATATGTTAAATTTTTTAAAATGCACTCTTTTTTAGGGGACTTAATTTAATATTATATAAATGAAAATATTGCTTTATAGAACAAATAATTAAGGATAAATTCCACTTTCCTCCCTGTACTTTGACTCGGTATCACTTTACCCCCTTCTACTCTCAATTACATCGATTACACCGTTTGATCTAAGTATAAAAATTACAAAAGAAAAATCATCCCTCACAGTTTAAATAATTATAAAAAAAAATTAAAAATAAAAATAAATTGTAGCTACCGTTGTGGACTATGCTTTATCGTTCTCTTGATTTTTCTTTTCCTTTTTTGTTTTTTTAATAATTATTTAAACTTAGAGGGGTGGTGTTTTTGTAATTTAGAGCTTAGACCAAATGATTACATCTAACAGCAATGACCACATTGAGATAATTTTTTAAGTACAGAGGGGCAAATCGATGCAATCAAGAGTAGAAGGGGGTAAAGTAATATCAAGCCAAAGTATCGGGGTGAAAGTAAAATTTACCCAATAATTAATTAATTATTGTACTTCACAGTTGTGATATGTTTTATTACTATATATTAATATATTATTGCATCATTAGTTGGTTTGGTCAAACAATTCGCTTTAGTACAACGTTAACATTAGGCTGCTTTTCGCCTAGCTAACTATACATATATGGATGCACATATATTCCTATACAAGATATATACTCATATCTTAAAGTTGAAGCCATAATTAAAATAATATAGGTAAAATAAGCTATGATGCACGGAAACAACTTCTATATACACGCGTTTTCACGCTTTAAAAATGTTTCTGAAATTGAAACGCAATGATATATGTCGGAAACGTTTTAGGGCCGTTTTTCATAAATATTTGGGGGATTTGTGGTAATAATGAAAAAATGAAAACTCGTTTCCGAAAAAATCAAACATGTTTTACATAAACACTCGAAATTGCCTACGCTTAGAAAAATTTAAATCTTATGTATATTTTTCACTTCTAGTGGTGTTTTAGTATTTTTTGGTAGATGCTAATTGCATACGAAAGTAAATTTATATGCCCCGAATATAATTTGTGTTATGATAATTTCGATTGAAACTTGTAAATTATATATATTTTGTAGATAAAAATATGTGATTGATGATAAGTATAAAAGTTAAACTTTATAATATTTTTTAGAAATTACGGATGAATCCCTATATTTTTTAGAAATTACGGATGAACCCCTATATTTTTTATACTTACACATTTCCCCACGTTTCTGTATCCAACTTTTTGAAAAATTGGCCATGTGTCCGTTTTTCCATTTCGCCGTTCCCATATCCGATCTGTGCTACATAGGGTAATATCAATTTAAATTCACATTTTATGTTAATTAATATAGCGCGCTGGCACTAAATTAATAAAGTGCAAATTCACATCGCTCTTAAGCTTTGGAGATATAAATATTAAATAGATAAACTCACCAAAACTTAAGCTAATAAGTGAATTGTCATATTAAATAGGGTAAATTACAACAACCCCTAAGGTATGGTTAAATTACAAAAAAAACCCTCTTGTTTGGATAATTACAACCACCCCTCAACTCCTCAAATTTAGTGGAATTTTCGAGATTATATGGAATATTATCACTTTTGTACCCGTTTTATCCCATTTGAACTCTATATTTTGAAGCAAGATGATCATAATATGTGTTTTTTGGCTTGTATATATCAGATTGTGGTGCATCAGAAACTGTATTCTTACACAAAACGAGTACAAACTAGAGCACATTCCACGAAATATAGATGATTATGTTGAATTTGACACCATAAGGGTGGATGTATAAGAAAAAATCATAGTTGAGGGGGTAGATGTAATTATGCAAACAAGATGGGTTTTTTTGTAAATTGACCATTCCTCAGGGGTGTTTGTAATTTACCCTATTAAATATATGAAATATCAAATAATTTACTTCAATAACAACTTAACCCTTTAAAATGCTTGATTATTCAACACTAGCTAGTACTATGCACTATGCAGTGTCTTCTGATCAGACGGTGTTCGTTGAGGGACCACGATAAAACACGTATGTGTGAAACATGGGATCCCCACTCCCCCACTGTGGAGGACCTTTTTTTGCATACTTAGTCGTGTTTTTTTGCCAGCAATTGTAATAAAGCCAGGTTTATTGGAGAGGAAAAGCAAAGGTGCAGTAAGCAAGGCACGCCTTTGCTTATAAAGTTGATCTGTGGACCAATAAATATGAATAAATAGACGTCGCGTGGAAGACACTTCTTGAAATTAAATATAGTTGTTTCAATATGATTTATATTTATTTGATTAATTTATGACTAAATGATACTAATCACTCTTAATCCTAGCTCCTACTTATTAATTAATTTAACTAATCTCCAACCATGGTGATTTAGGATTGTTAAATGCTAAATACATCGCTTATATATTGTAGCTCACAAGGTAAAATGAGACACTACAACAGATAATTTTTAGCAAGGTTGTAAAAACTGGAAATCGGATCTGAGACGGTTAAGCATTTGTCTCACAGTTTATCGGTGTTGCGATGATTAATCAACGATAAATTGTAAATAAATCATTTTTTTTCTCGTGTTTTATGTTATATGTTATATTATTCTCAATACGCGAAACATATATAAAAGAAGATATATAAACATGGTTCTATCATTATTATTTATAATAATAATAATAATAATAATTTAATAATAATAATAATAATAATAATAATAATAATAATAATAATAATAATAATAATAATAATAATAATAATAATAATAATAATAATAATAATAATAATAATAATAATAATAATAATAATAATAAGAAGAAGAAGAAGAAGAAGAAGAAGAAGAAGAAGAAGAAGAAGAAGAAGAAGAAGATCGTACGTAGTAGAATAAAATCCTTACAAGATACAAATAAAACGCAATTTTTTACATTCAAAATTATGTTTGAACATTACAAGTATATATTATTAATAGGTCATTTAAAGATAACAATTAACAAGAACAAGATAAAACATAAACTCACATGCCAAATTTTAATTTTGTACTTTTGTCAAAAAAGAAACAACTAGATTTAAAAATCGATTTTTGTCATCTTAGTTTGATCCGCCTCCAAGATTTGACCGCATCAGTCCGCCTTCAATAAAATGGCTTAGGCTTGAGCTCGAGCTCGAATCCAAAAGCAAATACCTAGAGAGCTCGAAGTCGTTAAAATGGATTCGAGCTCGAGTTTGGCTCGTTTACACACCTACTACATGCACAACTTAGTCAATCGAGAAGACGTAACAGTAAGATAATAGTTAGTAAATTAATTAGATTGAAAAATAATCACCACTAATCCATTATTAATAACCGTCTAACCCATAATTTAATTTAGATTTTAGGAAAGTAAAAATATATGGATTAAATCGTCCACTACTTTCAGTATTGAACCACCTCTTCTTGAGAGATCGATTGACCGGCTGCCTCGACCGATTTTTAGAACATTGATTTTCAGAATGACAATATTTAAATAATTATTTTGACTGAATTATCACCAACATTATTATGTCACTAATTCAACAAGGTGATAACCAAAAAAGAATTATTAGTGATAAATAAGAAATTGTCTATTAAACAACAAATGATATATATTCTTGCACTTGTAGTGTGAATGTGAATTTTTTGTTTGTATACAATTCAACTATTCATGAAAAGTGAAGTAAAAATATTAAAATAATAGATAAATAATGACAAGGTGAATTCTCTTAATTTACTAAAATATTAAATTGTCGAACTAATAATTTAGTAGGTTTTTATCGAATTCGAACCAGAAAAAATTACTATTTAAGTGAGGTTAATTAATTTATTGAGGATTAATTTATAATAAGTTAAAATGACAAATATAATTCAAAAAATGCAACCAAATACGGGTTTGAATGAACGGGTCCGGATCCAAAACACCAGTACCCGAATCTTCAACTCTGATCTAAACCCTTAAACCCTTGCCAAAAACCCAAACCCCCAAAAGCTTCAGATAATCCACAGAGCAGCCATGAATAAATTCAAGAGAATCCTGACTCACTGCCGACTCGCTAACTCGCTTTCCTCCAGAAATTACTCTGTTCGCAGCGACAAGGTGACTCATTTACCTCGTATCTCCATTTTTCCTTCGTCTAAAATCCATTCTTCAATCAATTTCACAAACTCCCACAATCAAAGATTCTTCTTTTCATCAAAACCCGAATCGTTTATCGAGATTTTTTCGTCCAATGATTGGTCCAAGAAATTGGATAAAGAGCTCGAAGATTCAGATTTAGCCCTAACCCATGAAAATGTCATGTATGTATTGAAGAAACTGGGCAAAGAACCGAATAAAGCTTCCAGGTTCTTGAAATGGGCTGTCGAAAAGAACGGGTTCGAGCCCAATTCTTCGATATACAGCTCGATTTTAAGAATTTACGCGAATAAGGATTTCTTGAAGGAGTTTTGGGTAACAATCAAGGAAATGAAAGAGAAGGGTTATTACATCGACGAGGAAACCTACAAAACTATTTTCTCGACTTTCCGCGGTTTGAAAATGGAAAACGAGGCCACCGCGTTGCGCCATTTCTACGAGAGGTTGATTAAAGAAAACACCATCGAGGATAAAGTGAAACAAGTGGTCGACGTAGTTAAAAGCGACGAATGGGGAGAAAATGTCGAGAGTCAGTTGTCGAATATGGAAATCACAGTCTCCGATAATTTCGCGTTGAGGGTTTTCAAAGAGCTTCGAGGGAAAGGGTACCCTGCAAAAGCTTTCGAATTTTTCAAGTGGGTCGAGCGAAGTTTGAATTTCAAGCACAACGGTGTTACGTACAACGGCATTCTTAGGGTTCTTTGTTGGGAAGATTCCATTTCGGAGTTCTGGTTCGTGATGGATGAAATGAAGGGAGCCGGTTTCGAACTGGATATCGACACGTATATAAAAGTGTCGAGGCAGCTTCAGAAGAATAAAATGTTGGGCGATGCGGTGAACTTATACGAGCATATGATGGATAGCTCGTTCAAGCCCTCGTTTACCGAATGCAATTCCCTTTTACGAACAATCGCAACTTACACCACACCGGATCTTGATTTGGTTTTCAGAGTTGTGAACAAATACGAGGCGGCTGGATATTCCTTCTCTAAGAATATATACGACGGAATTCATAGGTCTTTGACTAGTCTAGGAAAATTCGACGAAGCGGAGAAAATCGTAGAAGCCATGATAAAGGCCGGATTCGAACCCGATAACATAACCTACAGCCAATTGGTGTTCGGGCTTTGTAAATCAAGAATGTTCGAAGAAGCAACTAAAGTACTCGATGTAATGGAGGAGCAAGGTTGCGTACCCGATATTAAGACGTGGACAATATTAATAAAGGGCCATTGTGCAGCCGATCAAATCGATAAGGCGTTGCTCTGCTTTGCGAAGATGATGGAAAAGGGTTTCGATGCAGATGCAGATCTTTTGGATGTTTTGATAAACGGGTTTTTGAGCCAATCGAGGATTTTGGGGGCCCACACGGTGCTTGTTGAATTAGTGGCGAAAGCTCGATTGAGGCCTTGGCAATCTACGTACAAGAACTTGATCCAGAAGCTTCTAAATGAGAGGAAACTCGAGCAAGCTATGGAGCTTCTTCGTTTGATGAAAAGACATAATTACCCTCCTTTTCCGGAGCCTTTTGTGAGGTATATTTCGAAATTTGGATCGGTGGAGGAGGCTAAGGAGTTCTTGATGGCTTTGAGTGTGAAGGAATATCCGACTGTTTCGGCTTATCAACATGTGTTTAAGTCGTTCTTTGACGAGAGTCGACACTCTGAGGCTAAAGATTTGCTGTTTAAGTGCCCGCATCATATTCGTAAGCACCCTGCAATTAGTGCTCTGTTTGGTTCGGCTGATTAATGACAGATGTTTTATGTTAGCTTGAATGCAAAGGAGAAGAAAGAAATTTAATAAGAGTTGTGGTTTGTGATGTGTGTGATTTCAAACGTTACATCGTATTTGATTATGTATTTGTAATTTGCATGTACACCTTTTGTGGTTTCTGCAAAGAAATTTTGATCCCTTTCGTGACTTTTTTGTTACTGAGTTTGATCAGTTCTTACACCAAATAATTTTGTTGACGAGTTTGATCGTATTTCAAGCTTTCGTGTTTAATATCGATCGATCTATACTTCATACGAATGTTTTTTATGTTTCCTAACTTATTTGTAATACTTGTTATTATAAGAAATAAAAGGCAAAAATATCTTCCTTCTATGCTTTCCTCTAATGAATCTAATCTAAAGATTAACATAGAGACATGTCTCTGTGTCAAGTAATTAAAAGCCTAAAAATTACAATTACACCACACAAATAAGCGTTTTGTAACGTAACGTGCTGCCTACTTTTACATACTTGTACTAATTTTTGACATGAAAGAGGAATCATATGGTAGAAAGACACGGAATTCAGTCGGGTATTTCGGAACATTCTCTTCGCGCTGTCTCAATCATCTTATGCAAGAATTTACCAGGTTCACAGCCGAAAGGATTTGCAAGGGCAGCATGTGTCAAAAATGGAAGCTTTCTGAGCGATCGCCCACTCAATCCCTGCAGATGGAAATAAGCACGAGTAAGCTAAAGTTCGATCTTAGAATTTCCATTTATGAGTTGCTGCTATTATAAGGAGCTTAAAAGCATCAAAATTTCACTTATTTCAATCAAAATACCAATCCTATATACGTCACGTGCATAATTGAAATTAACAGATTTACTTGAAATTAAGCTACCTCACATGCTTCCGCAGCTGCAAGTAGAGGTACACCAAGACTATATGGAGATGCAGCCTCGGGGATTAGAGCTGTATTTAATTGCTCTTTCAGACTTGTAAAACTTGGGACAAACAAGTTATCACCATCCTACATGAATTCCATTCACAAACTTAGCATAATCGTAAGTTCCACTCTCAGCAGCTTGGCATTATATATTTACGCATAGAGACAAATACCTGAAACCCGGAATTTGATAGAATTCCAGTCCTTAAAAGCTCTACCAAACAAGATCTTAGGATTTCGTAACGTGCTTGGAGAGTTGGAGGACCCACGTACGCCTTTATGTCAGCTCGATCGACAAATGCTATATCTGCAACCAAATCATTTCTAATTGAAATTATTCTTACTTGGTGTAGTGCGATAAAACATTAAAACATCAGAAATTCATATCTCACCAATAGCAGCAGTTATATTTGATGTAGTTAGAATCACTACATTGGGTGAAGACTTTAACTTGTCCATCTGGGTCAAAAGGGCATTGACAACCTGGGAGACGAAATAAAGATCTTGTTTAGAAAGAAGCGTGTATAGTAAATAACTCGAGTTTATTCCATTTAAAGCAAGAAAGATACCCTTATAGAATCTGAAGGCTCGGAACCAGATAAAGCAGCCTTCCTGGCAGCAGCTAGGCTTTCAACTTCATCTACATAATTTGATCGGGTAGCATTATGTATGATAAATCCAATTAGACAATAGCAAATTGACAATATCTGTCATCAAAATTCTCACCAATCAAGACAAATACCATATTGTTTTCTTCCTCTACCATTTCCTGTATTTTGGCGAAAAGCTTTGCCACCTGAAATCAGAAGTTCAAATCAGCTACAATGATGCCTAGCAGTGAGGAACACAGATAAAATTGTCGTAATCCTTGACCATGTGACCTGATATGATTCGACTTGTGATCTCACAACTCAAGTAAAACTATAATCTAACTAACATACACTTCTCGTGTGTGTTTGACTTGGATGTATAAACTAACTTTCGGTTATATACATGTATATTAGAAAGATGTAAGATGCTCAATTCATGTGGATAAAAGATGCAGGCATTCTGAAATGTCATTGCAGTCATGGCAAAAACTCAAAAAAAAAAAAAGAAAGAAAAAAAAAAAAAAAAAAAAACCATTGTCCAAGAGATCATCTGTTACTATCTAGTATCTAGGCTAACTATGAGATTCTCCTTTTCCAGCTCATCTCCACTAAACATTTTGAAAATTGATCACATGTCTAATAGGTGTATGAAAGTGAAAATGAATTGTAAAAATGAAGAGCAGATGGATGGGACTTACTAGCTTGCCACTTTCAGAAAACCATTTACTGAACAAGGAATGTGCATTAATCTCAATCAATTGGCATTGCGGGTACCTGATTTGGAAATAGTAATAGCCAAATAAAAAAATGAGACGAAATGAAGATTACAAGAATACGAGAATCCAGATGAACGGCTGTTGTAATAACCTTGAGCTAAAGCGTATTGAGAGTTTTTGTGCCAGTGCTTTGCATAACGACGTCTTGCCTGTGCCTGGAGGTCCATGAAGAAGAATGATGCTGCAGAAACCATTGGGATAAAAATAGGAACTCAGTGAATAAAACATGAATAATATTAAAGAGCGGATCTTGAAAATTGCAAGAAAGAATAACGAGCAAATAATTGGGAATGCTTAACACTTTGATGTTTTGCCGCCATTAATCAGCAACCATGTATCCTATCTTTAAAAGCATGAAAATTTTGTATTTCCCAACTTTTTTGCAATGTCTATTGTACCTCTATCATTAAGTTCAAATATCAATTAAATTTGAATGCCAAGTGTCATTTTGTATCCTTTCAAGAATTGGAATATATTTCCTTGTCTACCATAATTCTTTCTAAATTTAGAATTTTTGGATAAAGTTACTTTTATGTAACACTAGATTTTAAGAGCCATCCAACACTAGCTCATGAGCTTATCATACCTGCTACCTATGCACACTCAAAGATTTATACCTCTTATTTTCATTTATGCCTTTCAGTATAACAGAGAGCACTATATTTGAGAAAAGCAAATTGTCTTAAGCATTCTGTACCACAAGTCGTTCCAATCATAAATTAGCAAACTGCAAGCTGGAAAGATAAGCGTTTAGGCATATAAAAGATTTTTTTTCTAGAATTCGTAAACTAACCGGTTCCATGATACAAGGGAAGGATTGACACCCTTGTCAGTGAAAAGTAAAGCACTTGCTGAATAACGTAGAAGCCTCTGTTTGAGACCATAATCATAAATTAAGCTGCAGAAAAGAAGGAAAAAAACACATGCCTTTAGGTTTCTTATTTAATCACTGCTAAAAATGGATATTGTTAAACAAACCTTTCCCACATGCCATCAAATTCTTTTGCAGGAAGAATCCATTCGTTAAAGCTAGCAAGTTGACCATCATTGCTTAATTCTTCACATGGCCCTTCCTCACTGAGCTGAAAAATGCACAAAAATTACATCAAATGAAAAGTTAGTTATTGCTTTGTCCAATTTTAACCATACAAAGGCATGTAAAAATGTTACTGAAGGCAATTCATCTCTTTACTCCAACATGGTTTCTTTCTTTACTTAACGAAAACTTATTCGATAAAGATTCGATATAATAAATTAGAAAGCTTAATGATTTTCACGAAAAAAGTGCAAGTAGACAAATAAATACAATGAGAAAATGGATAAGCATTGTGAGAGAAAAAAAATGACCTGGAAAACATGCACGACAGGTTTGACTTGCCAGAATAAAAGAATATTGTGCTCTTCCACCCAAACATCTACAAATCACCAAATAAAGATTCCAGGACAGAGGAACATAACAATATAAAATGGATATATTTATACACTATTCAGATGAAAAGAAAACGAAAAATGTAAGCAAAAGTGTATTTCATTTCGAAGTTGCTTTCTAAAGAACCGACTTTGAACTCAGAAACATAAAACTACCTGAATCGCATATACACATTCGTTGTACATTTTCCACAAGAAAAGTATCGTCGATTGGAACTGGGATTGGACCATCCTCATAGCTCATGCTTCTCTTTTCCAGCATTCTACATAGGAATCACAATTGCATCACATATTCTTTAATCAGAAAATAAATTAAAAATGCTTTAAAAAATAGTTTGTTAAATAAATTAACACGGCAACAAACACGAATTATCTATTTGCAATATTGTGATTTTACCTTTCGACTGCAGAACGGACATCTTCAGCCCGTGCTGTACTAGATGGTTTCAGTAAAACCTCAACTGCGGCAACAATTAGATCATCACATTAAACAATAACCACATTGCTAAAACACTCAAATTTGAGGGGAAAAAAATAAAAAATCAGCTTCCACTGTGGAACAAATTCTCCAGCTACACAAAAAAAAACCTAGAATTTTATGCTCACATTTATGTATATACCTGACACAAGGACTTTATCTTCTCTGGGTAAAGGAGGGGGCGGTGGCGGCGACAGCTGCGGTGGTGGAGGAGGCGGCGCAGCTGGTGGCTCAAAAACGACATGGTCTTGCTCCGGTAAATTGCATTCGCCGGGATTATGCACGGAAATGTCCATTGGAGTACTCATTTCGGTGGCAGACATCACACACAGAATCAAATAATTTTGAAATAATAAAATCCGATTGCCCAAACCCTAGGTGAAATGGGGATTTTTAATTTGAAATTGGACGCGGGAAGAAGAACACACCTCGTCAAACTCAGCCGGAGACCTAAATAAAGCATTAGTATTATTTCTCTAGTATTTTAATATCATTTAGTTAAATTTATTTTCACATATTCTTTCTTGTTAATAAATATAAAATAAAAGGGTAAATTACAACCACCCCTGAGGTATGATCAAATTACGAAAACTCCCCTCTTGTTTAGATAATTACAACTATACCCTCAACTCCTCAAATTTAGTGGAATCTTCGAGATTACATGGAATATTATCACTTTTGTACCCGTTTTATCCCATTCGAACTCTACATTTTGAAGCAAGATGATCACAATTAGGTTTTTTTGGCTTGTATATATCAGATTGTGGTGCATCAGAAACTGTATTTTTACACAAAACGAGTACAAATTAGAGCACATTCCACCAAATCTGGATGATTATGTTGAATTTGACACCATAAGGGTAGGGTGTAAGAAAAAAACATAGTTGAGGATGGTAGATGTAATTATCCAAACAAGAGGGTTTTTTTGTAAATTGACAATACCTCAGGGGTGTTTGTAATTTACCCTATAAAATAAAATAAAAAAGAATAAACTTCCTATTTGTAATCTGACTGAAATTTACAAAATAAGCGATTTATATTTTGTTATCTTACATACAATTTATATTCGAAGCCATTAGCCTCAAGATTTTAAGTTCGTGAGGCGCCGAAAGCATTAAAAGATTATAGGGAACCGTTAGTGCTATTATACACGAATCTTTCACATTTTTTTATAAAAAAATAAGAATTTGAGAAATATTGAGGGGTCATGGCCCCCAACCTCCTCAACCCTTTGAAGTAATGTGTAATTCATATTGTTTAGTGACATACTTTTATAAAGATTGTGGTCAAATTGGATCTCCAATATATATGAGAGCCATCTAAAATAATTAATTAAATGACTTAAATAACCTCCAATATGAAATTTGTTTTTCTTTGTTTTTGGAAATTTAAAGTGTAAGAGATAGAAAGCCAATAGGCAATAGGGCCATAGATTATGACTTATGAGGCATAAATGAGATTAATTAAAGAATACCGACTCAATTGAATACCTAAATAAGCGACGGTGCTATTAAATATCATAAAGCCTATCTAAATTATGACCGCATTATATGTAAAACCGATCTACTTATCAGTTGATAAAGTAAGTAGAGTGTGATGTCTAATAATTTCAATTGTTATAATGTATAGGTATAATTTTTTTTTTTTTAAATATTTGTCAAAATCATCAATTCGATTTCTTTTATCGGAACTTTCTAGTCCAATATGTGGCTGGCTGCGAATTTTTCAATCAATACAAACAGTAGTATCAAGTATGTAGTCCCATTATTCCTAATTTTGTTGATAGGGATGTATTATTTATTTCATTTTTCCACCTATATAATAATGGAAGAGACAAATAAATATTAAAGTCATCCATACCCCATAAGTCACTCATCTAGAAATCACAAGACTCATATATATATATATATATATACACCACTCCAAAACAAAATAAAATTGTGCTGCTCAAAATTTTGCACCTCACCTCATCATCTGAATTTCCAACATGAGGCTCAAATTCACTCCAAGAAAATAAAAACATGTCCCAAAAAAAAAAAACTCTTCAAATTGCAACAAAAAAAAAGAAATAAATAAAAGAAAATTATGAAGAAAAATCAGAAGCATGAACAAGAACAAGAAGAAAAAGAAGACATTGAAATCCTCAAGGCAGTAGCACAAGCATGGCATGGCCAATCCAGCAGTGCCAGGTCATCAACTGCGGCAGCATCGGAATTCGACGCCCACCGAAGATTCTTCAAGGGGAGGCCGACTCGGTTCAAGATCGAGGCCGCGACGAATTTAGCGACGACGAAGAAAAATAAAGACGATAGCTACTACCACCACCAATGTGGGGCCAGTTGGGATTTCAGACAGTCACTATGGGATTCTTACGAGATTATATCGGTTTCCAAGAAGTTGGAAACCGGTTTAGTTATGGCCGACCCGTTTTCCGCGCTGGAAAACGGGTCGGGCGTAGTCAAGAAGCGTAAAGAGGGTAAGAATAGCTTGAGGAACTTGTTCAACAAAATGTCTTCTAGAAGATTCAGTGAAGAAGATTTGCCGTCGGATTAGATTTATTCAGCTTTAAATACGATTTTTGAGGAATTAGATTTCTTGTTATTACCGGTTCGAATAAAATTTTCTTGTCTCTCTTAGATACATGATATATATGTATCGTACGATTTTTCGGATATTCGGAAGCTAAATTATTCCCGGCTATAATTATTTACGGAAACAATTTTATGTTTACTTTGTACCAATTCCGACTCCGCATAAGGATGTAATTGCACAAGAATAGTATAAAAAAGTAAAAACGCAGGCGATTATATCGAAAAACATTGAAAAAAATAGGAATGCGAAACCACATCATAAGTTTTCACCTCTAATGCACGGACACGCGTTTCGGACACTCGGACACCCGTGTCGGCCCATGTCCGTAGTTTCACCTAAATAGGACACCCGTGTCAGGCCGTGTCTGTAATTTTGAAAAATATATGGCACACATGTCCCAAATTGGATACCTCTTTTTATAATTTATAAATATACCTTCGAAGTTTTATAATTTATAAATGTACCCTTGTAGTTTTATAATTTATAAATACACCCTTATATTTCTTATAATTTATAAATATGCTGTGTCCGCGTTTCAGTGTCCGTGCATCATAAGTTCACACATATCCCATACGTATATGCAAGAAAAACAAGTACCCTAACTAAAAGAGAGGCATGTTATTTATATTAATAAATATCGCCATAATACGACACACGCTTCGTATTTATTACACCTTAAAAAGGTGTTCGATTTTCTTCACGCATTGAAATTCCTGTGCTTCTGCTGGATAAATCCATCAGCCTCCATATCAATCGTTATTTTCTCGTCACGTTTTCCATCCTTATCAACAACCTCAACAAGGTGAACTTTCTTGTACTGCACCATAGCCTCGGGGTAAAAGTTGCCCACGTGTTTGTCCTGACGGGGCGATGAGCTGGCAGTAACCGTGTGGGCCCGCGGGCTGCCGGAATAATCAGAGACCATTACACCTGCAGAACTAGGCATTCTTTGCACTCTCGTAACACGTTGGAGGTATTCGTCTATGGAGTCTTCTCCGTAGTAGTTGCTCCTCTCGGAGTACACCTCGTAGTTTCTTTGCATTGCGTTTTTCTCTCTCTAGCTCGCTCTTATCGAACTTGGTGATAAATGTTACTCGAGATTTATAGGGCCATGCTTTTGCAAAAAGATATTATTCGATCGAGCGAGATATTATTGGATTGCTCTTTCATGAATCAGATGCTTCTTGATCCTTTGTCGGTTTCAAGAAGTATATCCAATTATTATTCTCTCATTCGATTTTTTTCAGAGCTTCTTATTCGTGCAATAATGTGCGACAAGAAACAAAACGCCATTGATTAGTATGATTACTTCCCTCACAATCCAAGAAGCTTAACTCTTGAGCAATGCAAAATTGCACAAATCACCCCCAAATATGCTGAAAACCGCACAAATTACCCCAAAAGATGTTGAATGTCGCACAATTCAACCCTAAACGTGTTGAATATCGCACAAATTACCCCTGAATATGCTGAAAATCGCACAAATCAATCCTTTAAACAAATATTGTAATTACCGTATCGTATGTTATCGCTGTATCGAAGCGATATTTAGTGATATTTGATTACAAGCATTACATATGCCGAGTCGTATCATTTCCATAGAAATATCTCGCGATACATATCGCAGTATACCGCGATATTAACTACACTGATTCAGACAACTCTACCATGAATTTTCCGGTTCGAAAAGAGTATATATTAACATCAACAACCAAGATACGATGGCGAAAACTCTAAATAAATTGAACATAAAAAATAAAAAATAATTAAAAAAAAATAAAAAAACCCCAAATACCAAGAAAAAGAGTACGTTCAGTAAACTTAGAATTATAAGTGATAATAGTCATCAAATAATAGTTATTAAGCCAAAAAAAAAAAAAAAAACCCCGAGTTTCGAGTGCACTCATATGACGTTGTACACCTCATATACACTCGTTTTATTTTCTTCCCACCACTTATCTGCCTGTCGAGGCGAAAAGAGTTTCTCGCTGCAGTAAAAAAAAACATACAAAACCAATTAACATATTATTCAATCTTGATTTTTCTTTATTGAAAAAATTCCACGTGTAAGACAAAATTTCGGTACCTAAAACGAATTCGTTCGATACGACTGGCACCATCCGGTAACGAGGTGAGAGTTATTTCAACACCGGGTGCGTACGTTTCGACCCTTGCTAGTCTCTATAAAATTTAGCCTAGTTAGCTCCATTAGATAGTGAATTAATAAAATAAAATAAAAGAACAAATAAATAAATAACGTCACGTACACCGTCCGCCGTCAGATGAAAACCACCGTAACCGTTTTCCACTACTTCCACTCCCTTTTTGGAGTTGCCAGGCTGCTCAAGGCTATCTCCCACAACTCGCTTTGCTTTCGCAGTTGGAATTCTTAACGCATCATCAACCTATAAATCAATCGAGGCAACCAATGCAAATGATGTAATTCGAAAACAAAAATTAAAATATAAATAAAAATAAAAATAAATATAACAAAATATCAAACCTTGATATAAATAGATATAACTTGTCCGAACCGTTCGTATGAGGGTGACATCAATACCCAGAACGACGTGTAGTAGCCCGGAAATTCGGGAGAAGTGAAATCGACGGAGATATCGAGATCCTCGTCCACCATCAAACCGTTTGCAGGAATCTAAAATAAAAAATAAAAATAAGAAAAAAATATATATAGAAAGAGAGAGAGAAATTAAAATAAATAAATAAACTCAACCTTCACTTCGAAAGAAGTTTGACTAGTGAATGCAGTTCCGCCGATCCAAGCTATTCGTGTTTTCTCGGGCCATGCAGTAAAACCGTTGTTTCTCATCTTCCATATCTTTGTTAAACGAGTCGAAGGCGGCACGCTACAACCTTCCACTAAATTCACATCTTCAACGCAAAAACTCTGGAGCTTCTACGCACATGGAATCGAAACACGCAAAAAAAAAAAAACCCGAATTCGTATCACTAAACATAACCCAAATTACGAAAAGAAATAGCACAAAGATCGAACGAAGACGTACGGGTTTGGTGAATTCCATGGCCTCCAACCTGTCGATGCGGCTTTCAAATACCAAGAAGCAGGCGGTGCAGATTCTACAAAGAGGGGACGAAATTGGAATAAGTTCGCGTTTAAAAAAAAAAAAAAAGATTATACTAAGAGGGTGTTTGGCTAAGCTTATAAGATGTTTTAGAGCTTATAAGCTCTTCCAAAGTGTTTAGTAATTTTTTTTTAATAAAAAATCTTAATTTTTTTAAAATAAACTGTCAGAGAACAAATAAGAGAACAAATAAGATCGCCATTATCCAAACACTCCAAAAATCAATCCTAAAAATAAGATGTAACAGCTTAGCTCTTATGAGACGTAAGAGCTTATTAGTTGTTTAAAATAACACTCTAAATAGAAGATTAATTAGCACCATTATTAATTCGTTCATTAAATTACGTACCCCGTCGAATTGACCCCGTACGTAGATTTCTCGTTGATCCCACAAACATCACAAAAAGGACTCCAACTCCAACGCGAGAAACTACTACTTCCACTAGGTAATCCATAAACCGGATAAGAATATGTATCAGGATAATCAGACTCATTTAGAACCTTCTCAAAAGCAGAAGCAGAAGCAGAAGCAGAAGCAGAAGCTGAAGCTGAAGGCGAAGCCGAAGCAGAAGCTAAAAAATCACTATTAGTAATAGGACGCGTTATCGATTCAGTAATCTCTGCTTTAAACGACAAATCTTCGATGAGCTTCTCCATTTTTTCTTTCGGATTAAAACTCCGACTCGAATCGAACTTAACCGCATCACTATTAGTAATAGGACGCGTTTTCGATTCAGTAATCTCTGCTTTAAACGACAAATCTTCGATGAGCTTCTCCATTTTTTCTTTCGGATTAAAACTCTGACTCGAATCGAACTTAACCGCATCGATATTTTCAAGAGGTGAACTCGAGGGGTTGAAACTGATGCTCGAGTTGATCTTCATCGAATCGTTTTCGTGAATCAGCTTAGTGACAGTGAATCTGATGGGGTTCAAACCCTGCATCACCGCATCACGAAGATCGATAAAATCGACAATAGTCGCCACATCACCATCTTCGTCTATGTAAGTGACCGTTATTTCCGTGTCGGGTGAAAACCCGAATAGGGAAAAGATTAGGCTTCGGAGTCCGTCAACAGTTAGGTTTACTTCACCGTCGATTACACGAGTCCTAAATCGCCTCATTATTTCGCCATATGTAACCTGCATTAATTTTTATGAACATTTTATTATAAAGAAATCAAAAAGAAAAATTAATAAAAAAAATTAGAAGGTCTAAAATCCATCATACGTGTTATAGCAGTTACACCATGAAAAATAAACAACATTCAAAAAATTAAAAGAAAAAAAAAAAAAAAAAAAAAAGGAGGTCATAATTAGCTCACAAAAAATCCAAATTAATGAAAAAAAAAAACTCAACTTTTTTCTTCTTTTCTGATTTTGTCACAAAAAAATCCTAATTTTTTTTATCGAGGGCGCGAACCCCGAAAATTTAAACTTGTAATAAATTCCTAGACTTAGCTACTGAAGAAACCCTTAACACAAGAATCAAACAAGATAAAGAAATTTCGCATCATAAAATCCCAAAAAAATTAATTAAAAAAAACACATTAAAAATAATAATAACAACAGCAAACAAATCATCAGAAAGTAATCGAATTTCGTTCCAAAGAATACATATTTTACACAGTATATATATACAATACAAGCATGGAATATTAAATATCAAAAAATAAAATAAATAATTAATTGAGAACCTTGATCACCACAGTAGAATCGGCCTCCATAACTAAACTCCAAATCTTGTTTCAGCAAAACCCAAAACCCAAAAACCCTAGATTTTATGTGTATATATATATGTATATATATATATATATATATATATATATATATATATATATATAATCTGTTGAACCGATATACACGAAATCCACGCGGAAGGGGAAGGCGTGGCGAATAGGGAGAGTTGTGATAGGACAATGTACGTAAGTGAATACACGAAGAGTTGTTAGCTAATGTGGCTCTATTTTTTCAATTTTATTTTTATTATTTATTATAATTCCTTTTTCTTGTAAAATAAACAAAGAAACTTATAAGGTCATAAATAACGAGTCCATAAATATAAACCTAATTTAGTGAAAATTCGAACCGAATTTCTTAATTTCGTCGATTTTGATCTGATTGGTGCATGAATAAATTACATTTTTCGATTTTTGCCAAATTAGATCCGATTTTTTTTTATTATTATTTAAATAGTGAAAAACAAAAATCAAATTAATACATAATAAGAAAATATAATACACTAATATAGTAAAATTTAATAATATAGTATTATTCATATTTTATATAACATTAGTTTTTTTTTTTAAATCTTACATATTAAGATTTATAATCCAAATAAATAGACTAAGATTTAACAAATTGAAATTCTAGCTTTATCTCTTAAGATTTGAGATATATTGATGAAAAATAGAAGATTAATAATTGTAGAAAATTATAGTTTAAAGTTAGTAGAGAAAAAATATAAAAAATAAATAATTACATAAATATCAATAACGGATTCTTCACGGGTTGGTTTTAATTTTGATAATTATTAAAAATTATAGTTAGAAATTAGTGGAGAAAAAATATTAAAAATAAATAATTACAGAAATACCATTATGGGTTTTTAGGGTTGCCCATTGTTTCTTTCTTTTATATATAAGATATAAGATATAAGATATACTTACTTGCACACTGCACTTTCTCCTTTCAAGTTTCGTTTACAGTTAGCTCTCTAACTCATGCGAAAAGTCTGAAATGCCCTTCACTTTATACCAGTGTTGAGAAGGGGCAAAGAGATAAAATGGTTGCAATGTAGAGGGGAAAGCTACGGTGGCGCGAAAGGGGCTAGAGGTTGAGCAAGACATTTTTTCTTTTAGTTTTGTCTTAATTTTGGGAAGATTCAGACATGTTTGGGAACTATAATTATATATTAGAAGCAGGAAAAATGGGTGTTTGGTTCCAGGTATAGTAAAATAGAGAAGAAAAAAAATATATAAAATCATTTCATGAAGGACATTTCAGACATTTCGGGTGGACAAGGAGCTAAGTGTATTCAAAACTTAAAAGGAGAGAGTGCAATATTCAAGGTATATAGTATTATAGATTGGCTCGTATATAAAACTTGGCAAAAGAGATTTACGAGCTAAAACCATGATTAACAATTAAGATCTCCCCTCTAGTGGATGCTTTTCTTTCCGTTGTATTTTTTAAACATAACTAAATTCGGAGGGAAAAAAATCACGATGGCGAAAATCGTGCTACGATTTTTCCGTTCAAAAATAGTACATCAACATCGACAACCAAGATATACTAAAGAATTAGAAGCTGAACTCATAAAAAAAAAATGTTTAGTTATAGCTTCAAGGCCATGAAAAAATGAAAATAAAATAAAATAAATAAACTCGAGTTTCTAATGTTATAGAAATCAAGAATGCAGCCACATTTGCCACATTGTATCGCTCACGTACGCTCGTTTTATTTTCAGCCCACCACTTCCCCGCCTCGTCATCTATAACGAATTTCCTGCTGCATGAATAATAAACATATTAAAAAAAAAAAGTTCACGAGCATGATAATTTGAACGTTTAAAGTTAAACCCGTATATTAGATTAAATCACTATCGGTTTTAAGACAAACTCACGGTCTGGTGAGAACCAAGAAGATCTGTTTCCACTACTTCCACTCCCTTTTTGTAGTTGCCAAGCTCATGTAGGCTATCTTCCTCAATTTGCTTTGCTTTCACTGGGGGAGGAAGGTCGAGGTTTAAGGCATCATCATCAACCTACATCAATGGTACAAAGTAACCAATCCAACAAAACCCCCAATAAGAAACATAACAAAATTACTAAGTAATTAAAAAAAAAAAAAAAAAAAGGGTAAATTACATCTACACCCCTGAGCTATGCTAAAATAACTTTAAGGTCCTTGTGGTATTGGTAATTACTATCACACCCCTAAAACAATTATCGGAGCCAAGATTTCATGTCCTGGAGACCGATATCCCCTATAATTTTTTTTTTCGCGGGCCCGCTAATGCTACCATAGACGAAAACTTATAAATCTTATATGAAATAATAAGGATTTAAGAAATGGCGGGGGAGCAATGTCACCCTCTAGCTCTATATTGTCTTCATCACTGCCTGAAACTAATAGTCTGTAAGAAAACAAATGGAATAACTTATCCAATGCATTATTATGTTAGGGTTTTTAACAATGTTTTAAGGAGTGAGTATAATTACCAATACTACAGGGATCTTAAAGTTATTTTAGCATACCTCAGGGGTGTAAGTGTAATTTATCCAAAAATAAAAAATAAAATAGATAACAGTTGATATAACAATACCCACCAACCTGGATATAAATCCATATAAGTTCCCCAAACTGTTCGCCCGAGGGTGACTTCATTATCCAGTACGATGTGTAGTAGCCTTTAAGTTCGGGAGAAGTGAACTCAACGGAAAAATCGAGATCATGGCCCACAGGCAAACCGGTTGCAGGAACCTGCCAAATAAATCGAAAACAAGAAACATATCATTTTTGTAAAGACAATTGATATATTTAATTGCAATATCAAGAAGTAAGAAGCAAAGATAAACTCACCCCGACGTCAAAAGAAAGTGCATGGCTCAACACATGTCCACCTGTCCAAACGAGTAGCGTTTCCTCAGGCCATACAACCAAACCGTTGTTTCTCATTCGCCATGTCTTTGTGAATCGAGTCGAAGGTGGCACTACGCTGCCTTCTGCTACACTCACATCTTCGACGAAACAGCTGTCAAGCTTCGTTGTGCCCACAAAATCGAAACACACAAGATAAATGAAATAAATAAATAAATAAGTGCTAAAAGAAATAGAACAGAGATCGAAAACAAAGACATACATCTTTGGGCACTGTCTTTAGCGATTTGATAGACTTAATTCCTTCCTCGAATTCTGCGAAGCAGAGGGTGCAGATTCTACAGAAAGTGGGAATCGAATGAATTAGCATCAAAACGTTCACCAAACAGAGCGCTATTACACTAAAACAGAAGATTAAATCAATTACTTCACATTATTTAACTCTTACCCTTTCGAATTGAAGCTGTAAACAGTTTTTGGATGTGTCCCACAAATATCACAATAAGCACTCCAGTACGAGGCAGTAGTCCCGGAAATTGAAACTGGATACACGTATTCGTTAGTTTTCGGTACAACATAAGGCAAAATATGCCCGTTAGTAACTCCCATGGTTGACTCAGATATATCAATGTTCGTAATAGGCTGCGGGTTCAAGTCATCATCAGTTTCATTCCACCCCATTTTAGACGACATATCGTTCGAGATATTTTCCGTTGCTTCGTGCATAGGATTTTCTTCCCAATTAGAGTTTCCACTCGAATCGAACGTAACCGCATCGATTTTTTCGGGAGGTGAATTCGCTGGATCGGAACTTCCGAAAAAAATCGTCTTCATCGGATCATTTTCAAGAATCAGCTGAACGGTGAATCTAATGGGGTTCAGGCCCTGCTTCACTACATCGCAAAGATCAACGAAATCGACAATAGTCGCCACGTCACCATCTTCGTCTACGTAAGTGAGCATTATTTCAGTGTCGGGAGAAAATCCGAATAGGGAAAATATCTTCTTTCTCAGTCCATCCACAGTTAGGCTGAATTCACCATCGATTACACGAGCTCTGAATCGCCTCAGTACTTCCCCATACTTAACCTATATGAATATTCAATACTCATAAGCAAAAGGCAGAGTGGTGGCTCAAAAAAAATTCAGAAGCAGCAAACAATTAAACAAGGGGCAATTAACAATTAATAAACTATTAGCAATTAATGTTACAAACAAAAAAAAAACGCAATTAAATGAGAAACTCATCGAATCAAGCTGAAGTAAAAATCCAAAGCAACAAAAAAAAATTGCATGACAGTCAACAAGGGGCAATTAACAATTAAAAATTAATTAACACAAACAAAAAAAAATAAAAACGCAATTAAATGAGAAACTCGTCGAATCAAGCTGAAGAAAAAATATAAAGTAACAAAAAAATAAAAAAAATAAAAATTGCATGACAGTCAACAAGTGGCTATTATCAATTAATTAACAGAAGAAAAAAAAACTCATCGGATCAAGCTGAAGAAAAAATCCAAATCAACAAAAAAATTGCATGACAGTCAACAAGGAGCAATTAACAATTAAAAATTAACACAAACAAAAAAAATTAAAACGCAATTAAATGAGAAACTCATCGAATCAAGCTGAAGAAAAAATCCAAAAATAAAATAAAAAATTGCATGACAGTCGACAAGGGGCAAAATGGAAATTGTTAAAGCAGGTTAACGAAATCAACGAAAGAAATCGATTAATCGGAGTACCTTGATCACCACCGTAGAATCGCCGTCCATAACTGAACTCCAAATCTGATTTCAGCCAAGCCGCCGCAAAACCAGAAACCCTTCGTCCCGAAATTTACAGTGAAATGAAGAACAAACGATGCGAAGTATTTGATTTTATTCAATCTCTGTAACAGATTTTCACGAAATCCACGCCGAAGGTAGAATTATGATATGGCAGTGTACGTGAATGAGTTTTGAGACTGAGTACATGATTAATTATTTTACTTCTACCTCAATACATTAATAAGGGCAAATTGCACTTCACCCCCTATATTTTATTTTTTTTGCCCTTACCCCCTCAAAATGCTAAGACGAGAATGTCCCCCTTCGAAATATACAATTCGGTTCGGTGCACTTTGCGCCAAATGTGTTTTTTTGGTCTAATTCTTGTCGGATTTCAGTAAATCGGTATGGTAATTTCGTCTTTTAAGGCTTTAAACGACATTTAACCTTATTTTCACCCTCAATTACAATGATTGTGAAGAACCAAAAACAAATTTTGTCGAATTCGGAAGAAAATTTCGCTAATTCGAAAGCGAATTTCATCAGTTTGGAGATGGTTAATGTGGGAACCGTAAGTAACTCTGATATGAGCATTTTCAAGCTGAAAAAGTATAATGAAAACACATTTGGTTGATGTTTCAGAAATTCAATCTTTTTAGTCATTTTCCGCTAATATTCTGTTACTACTAACGGAATCAAATGTGTGTCCGTCATTTGTCTTAACTGACGGACTAATGGTAAATTGACGAAAATAACCGAAAATTTTAAATTATTGAAACACAAGGGACCAAATAAAAAAATCATTGCAAACTTGAGGGATGCAAACTATAATTTTCCCAAAAAAATCGGTAATAAGATTATAGACCATGGACTATCACGAGATGGATTATAAAGATGAAGATGAAAATGAGACTAAGTGACACATGAAGGACTAAAGTCCAATTAAATATTAACATTAGATAACATTAATTTTGACAGTAACTAATATGAAATATATTTTCAAAATTTATCAACAGATCCTTATACTCATGTCCAATTCGAATAAACGGAATAAATAGATTACATTTTATTATATATGTATAGAAAAGTAAACAAAACAAAAATTGAACTTAAACTAGGAAAATAAAAAGAATTTAAAAAAATAAATAAAATAAGAAAATAATAATCCCATATACTTTGATCAGATCACATAAGAAATTTGATCAGCTACTCTAAACCAAGCCATAATTGCCATACCAATAACAGTGGCCCAAGCAAAAGCCACAAGCCCCTTATCCTTTACCACAACCTTCACAAAGCACATTGCAACTTCCAATGTGATTTCACTTCCCTCCTTCGCCAAAACCCGGCGGCGCTTGCCGGAAAAAGCCAAGAGCACCACCACAGTTATCCATGCCAATGTGGTTGTCCGTACAGCATAAACGATCGAAATCGCAAGAAGGAATCCCACGAGAAGCGGCAAAATCGACGCATAGCTATAAGCCGACGAGTACGTACTTATCGTGTCAATTGACGAGAAAAAAACGTAGAAGGAAATCAAGAAGAAGACAAACAGGCATTTTGTAGGGCTGGATGTTCTTGTGATTTGATTCATCTAATTTTATAGTGATTATAATGTTTTTTTTTTCTTTGTTTTGTTCTTGAAATGTGAGATATATAGAGGAATTTGAATCCATGTGCTGCACATGGGTAAGGTTGGCAATTAAGGGATACCAACCTTCATAATTTGATTTGTACCTTCTTTTCTTAGTGAATAATTAATTGATGATTATTGCATTATGTTGCATGTATCATCAATTATTCACTAAGAAAAAAGAAGGTACGAATCGGGTCGATGCCATCGGGTTTCGGTTCGGCCCGGCTCAATTGCCAGTCCTACACATAATTATTGATTTATTACCAATCCGTACAACATGTGTATACAAGTGTAGAAGCAGCACTCAGATATTAGTTTCCGAAATGTAAATATGATAATTGAAACCGATAGTTTGGTTGATAACGAAAAACGTAAAGCAAACAGCAGATCAAATTCAGTGCTGGACAAATCCCATTACAAGGCCAACGAAAACAAGAAAATTATCAAAAAAAAAAAAAGTCGAAAGAATAAAATACTGATTCGATGCCATGTTTGGTCTTATTCAAGAAGTGTTTAAACTTCCTTCAAAAGGTCGTGCAAAAAAAAACGGCAATTGCTGGAAAAATGAAGTTATAGCTGCTGATTCAAATATTGGTCGGTGTTCGATTTTCCTGCTCCACCCAAATATCCGGAAACAGAACCACTCACGTTCGAAACAACATCAGACAACCAAGAAGTGCTTCTAGTCAACAACCCAGTTTGAGGTTGCACCTGCCCTTCATTCGCGCGTTTTTGTTCTTCTTCCAACACTATCTGATCCCATCTCCTCGACATATACGCCTTAACAGCTTCGACTCCTCCAGCCACAACTTCCTTTGGAGGTACCTCAAGTGGGTTCTGGTCAACTTTAAACTTGGTCAAACCCACGAGCCGACCGAATTTGTCGGGCAGTGCATGAATCTGGTTGTTGCTCAGATCGAGTTCTTTGAGGCCGGTTAGGTCACAGATTGTTTCCGGAAGTTCACACAGGTCGCTGAAGTTGCTACTCAGATTAAGGATCTCGAGATTTGTCAGTTTTCCGATTGAGTTTGGAATAGCGTTGATCTCGTTGAAATGGAGATCGAGAAGGCGTAATGACTTCATTTCACCGACGGATGCTGGGAGAGAACGGATCTTGTTGAGGTGGACCGAGAGCTTTTTGAGATGAACCAGTTCGAACCCGATATTGGTTGGTAGGTATGTGAGTTTGTTGAAACTTGCGTCCAACTCCTCCAATAACCTGGAAAAAAACGAGGTACAATTCACATTTAGCAGCATATTACGGTAATTAATAAGCTCGTATTTTTTGTAATTTTACTTTTTTTTTTTACCTGCAATGAGAAATACTGTCGGGGAGGGAAGTAAGCTTGTTGCGGGAAACATCGAGAATTTTCAACTTAAACAGCAGACCGATGGAGTCGGGCAATGATTCTAGAAGATTCGATGAAATATCGAGCTCCTCGAGATTCTCTAATCCAGCAACTGAATCGGGAATTGCCTATTTTGCTCACACAGAAGCCAAAATGTTAATAACTGAATTTAATGGCTATGCTGCTATGTAAAATTGTAAAATCGTCTCGTTTTTGCTAACGCAAAACAGCTATTTTCAGACAGAACTCAGAAGTCAGAAGTCCAGTGCGAAAGAAAAAATTGGATCTTCAAAATACGAATTCGACAATTCGTAAGATTTGAGCAAACAACAAAAAATGCCAACTGAACTGCATGCTCTCAGATGTTACTTACCTAACCAAACACTCTGATGAACTCGCAGAGCATTCAATAGTCTACAAGTTCACAAACCTCGTAAAATTCGTCAATCTAAAATCAAGCCAGTTTTCTTCAGAATTTATTGGACTATAAATGCATTCACCAGTACAGACAAAATCACGAGCATGACGAGTATCGACAATAGCAATAATTCAACTATCTCGCCTAATCTACAAATTCTCAACAACATACCATTAAATACACCTGCTAATAAATCATCACAATCTAAGACGCAAAACCGGACAAGCAACCAAACATGAATCGAATGAGTGCCAAATCAAACACATTTCAAATAAACAAACTAAATCGAACAATTCAAAAATATCATCCTCAATATTCACGCAATATATCCTAACTAGTAAAACTAACCTCGAGTTGATTGTTCGACAAATTCAGCACAATCAAGGACTTCAACTTCCCGAACGCCTCGGGAAAAATCCTCAACTTTCTTCCGGATAAATCAACCCTCTCAATTGCCTTCTTTCCAGCTTCCGCCACCTTCAAAATCGCCACCACCTCTTCGTCCATCTCCTCCTCCACCACCTCCCTCGCCACATCCTCATCAATCGTCTCGTTCCCCGCCAGCGCCGCCTCGTAGATCCTCTCCAACCTCCTCTCGGCGTCGCTCAGCATCTTCTCGTACGCCTCGTGCATCTCGTCCAGCGAGATCACCGCCTTGTAAATCTTGTAGTCCTCGCTCGCCTCCGCCGATTCCTTCGACGAATGGGCGTCGATCTCGGAAACCCTAAATCGGGCCACCTCGATGGTCTCGTGGTCGGGCCGGGTCCCGAGGGTTTTGAGCACGGATCGGGTCTGCGCCACGTCGGCGACGGCGCTGCGCATGGCGGCGATGAGCTTGGCGTTTTTGAGGTGCGGCATTCTCTCCGCGATCTCGAAGTGGGGCTCCTGGCTTCGGGCGTCGCGCTCCGGCGGATTCTCCAAATCGAAATCGGCGGCGGCGGCGGTGGTGGAGAAGGTGCGCTGGATGGAAGGAAGCCTGGCCATAACGTAGGAGAGGATCGGGAAATTCTTCGGATTTGGATCCATTGTCGTCGCCGATTTTCTCCTTCGCCGATTCTGAAGAACTGATAAATCTGAATTTTTTTTTAATTTTTTTTGTTTTTGTTTTTTTGTGTGTATTGTATGTATGTATGTGCAGTGTGTGAAGTGAGGATTAGTTAAAAAAATTAACGAACTAATTATCAAACGATTTAACTGCCCCACTATAATTACTACTGGCCGCTTATCTTCACTCTATTTCTCTCCATATGAATATATGCATACACGGGAGGGATATATCTATAGTTGGTTATTATTAAATTTATAGTTAAATGGGTAAACTACTGCTGTCAAGTTACGAAAAAATACGTCACGTTTGAATCATTACAACCATCCATCAACTCTAAATCTTCTTAGATGTTCATTCTTACGGTATCAAATTTAGTCGAATTTTCTAGATTATATGGAATATTTTTAATTGTGTACTCATTTTATCCCATTCGAACTCCACATTTTGAAGCAAGATCATCATAAGATGTTTTTTTTGGCTTGTATATATCAGAATGTGGTGCATCAGAAACTGCATGTTTGCACAAAACAAGTACAGACTAGAGAATATTCCATATAATCTAGAAGATTATGTTGGATTTGACCCAATAAGCATGGAAGTTTAAGAAGATTCATTGGTGATAGTTATAATTATCCAAATATGAGAGTTTTTTTCGTAATTTAACCATACATCAGGGATGGTTGTAATTTATCCTAATTAAATTAATAAAATTCTACTAGATTTGTTGTCTTTATAGAACACATTGTTTTCATTCAAAGATATTATTCTAAAATAAAACAAAATGGAATTTATTGCGAAAAGGAGATTGACATTATTTCGAATTTTTATGTTAGATTTTTTTTTTTTTTTTTTTTGTTATCTCTAATCCGAATTGTAATGCACTTAGATTCTGATTTTCGATTCGGTTTTAATTTTCGAAGATCATTATAAAATTTCATTCCCCCCCACCACAAATATTAATAATATTATTATGCATCTTTTACTATTGGTGAATACATAAATAATATTTTCGACTTCTGCTAGCTTTGATCCAAAAAAATCTGATTTTTGGAACAATTCTTTTCATTAAAATTTCAAAAATCCGGTTTCCTATTTTTCTAAAACTTTGGAATTAATTTTACTTCCGAAAAAATTGGAAAATTGTCAAAGAAGCCAAATTTAATCCAACCCATTTGAAGAAATAATAATAATCAAAATTAATTAATAGTCCAACATATTTATTAGGTCAACAAGACTATACCAAGTGAAGTATTTATTGGCTCTTGTGTTATAAGATCATGTCAAATCCATCCAATCAATCCTACGATGTTTCTTATGCAACTAGAAAGCAAAGTTTTGTTTATTGGACTCTTACACCCGATGAAAGTTACAAGATGGTCTTTTACCGTTAAGTTACACACACCAATGTGGATGTTTGTTTGTTTGCGTTATATGAATGGTAAAGATCTACTCGTCATATTTCGTCCAGTTTAGCATAGTCTAAACCAAATTGTGCCACACAAAGGGGAATTTGCTATAAGTTGTACAAACAAATGCTAAAATTAAGATTTATTATTCGTAAAGGTTTAACAAAACTAAACGAAGGCTAAATTAAGATTTAATCGATTTTCACAATAGTTGCTAAAAATCGGAATGTTTTTTGATGAATTCCTATTGACACGTTAGTAGAATTTCTCGTTCGACTAGCTGCAATATTTCTTGTGACCTCCGAGTAAACATCCCAATCACGTTCTTCGTTATTCTAGGCTCAAATTTCGTATTTTTCAGCCAAATAAGTCCAATATAAAGATCGCACTTGCAAGAATTATGTGCGAACAAAGATTTCTCCATTTGGTATCTGAACTGGACCTGCTCGAGCAAATAAACACACGGGTTATTATTTGTTAGTTGCAAATGAAAAATAAAATAAAAACATTTTTTTTTCGATTGAGAAATTTGTGACATACTCGGAAATGATCACCGAACGGGACATTGTGGAGAGTCATAATCTCGTTGACTATCCATCCATTGTCGTTTGGTAAAGTTGACTTTTGTTGTGTGGAGTTGACTTCACCACCAAATATTGATATACGGTGGCTAAATTTGTAACACACTCGTCTTTCTTGTACTTCCGAGGTCACATTTTCCCATGTGGCTGTCACGTAGTTGAGGCAACCGGATTTACTCATCACTTTGTGTTCCAACTCTCCACCTTCGAACATTTTCATCAATGATTTGATCTGTCAAAATTAAATCAAAAAGATAAAACAAGAGATATCTACATGGGGCGGAAATCGAACTCTCAAAAAAATTCCAATTTTTTAGGAAGGCAAAACTAATTACAATTATTTAAAAGAAAAAATCGGATATCGGAATTTCGAAAATTAGAATGAAAGATCTTCATTAAAAATCAGAAATTTGGATCGGAATCGACGGAATTCTGAATTTCCAACTTTTTGGTCACCTATAATATACAATAACATAATAATATTTATATTATAACTGTAATTTTCGGAAACAAAAATCGAAAAAAAAAAATCGGAAATAATTTTAGAAATTAAAATCACATCCGAACTCTGATTCTAATATGTATTCTGTTCCAGAAAAAAAATCGTAACTCACGCAATTCGGAATGAAAAATATTATTCCTAAATCGGACTTATTCGGATCGAAATCGAAGAAATTCGAACCGTTCCACTTTCCACCCCTACAACATATCTAAATAGACTTGTCAAAAATCGGAAAGTAGAGTTTGTGCAAATCAACGAACCCATATTTATAGGTTACCTTATTATCTTATTGCAGTAACGAGGTATAACTTACATTAAGAGGCAACTCCATCGTATAAACCTTGGTCATCTTTGCATCTTCAACAGCAAAGTGGGGCCCACTTTCTTCGAGCAAAAAAGCCTTCCCACCATCATCATCTCTCTCATCCTCCTCAATTTCAGCTTTCTGATCCGGTTCGAGTGTTCTCGTTTTCCACAATGCCATAATTGTCCTGTTAATTGATTAACGTTTAATAAAAAAAACAATTCGAATTAATTGCAACAAATGAAATATATATACATCGAGTTCGGAAAAAAAAAATGAAACTTTGAAAAAGAAAAATACCTGCTTGCGACATTAAAAGAAACGAAAGAATGGAAGTAAAAATGCAATCTTCCTTGCTCGTCTAAAACTTTGGCTCCATGCCTGGAATCGAGGCCTCGACCTTTGTGCAGAATTATTTCGAGTAGTGGACTTCCAACTGAGGCGAGAGATGGTGGTAGGACCCGTATATCTTCAATGTCTTCCCATAGGAAGAAGAATCTTGTTTTGTGTCCGAATAAGTTTGCGTAAAATCCAACTATTCTTGCTGAAAGGAAAAGTCGACCCTGCAGAGAATTAGACATGGAAATTTAGTGGTGGAAATCGGATCGGAATTAGCAATTTCGGAAAATTCCAATTTCTTTTGGAAGTGAAATTTGAATCCAATTCCCTCCAAAAAGAAAATCGTAAAATTGGAATTGTGGAAATTGGAATGATAAAACTTGTTTGAAAATCGAAATAATTCTGATTGTAAATTGACGGAATTCGGAATTTTCATTTTTTTACTCACCTATAATTAAACATATATAATAATACTGGTATTCTAAGTGTAATTTTTTGGAAATAAATGCGAAAAATTGAAATCAGATCCGAAACCGGAATCTAATTTGTATTCCAACTTCGTTCTGAGAAAACCAAAATTCGAAATTCACAACTTTTGGGATTCGGAATGAAAATATTGTTTAAAAATTGAATAAATTCAGAGCAGAATCGGGTGGAATTCGGAAATTCCGTTCCAATTTCCACCCCTAAATGAAATTATAACAAAACAAATTGGAACTATACATAATTTATTATAGTGTTTCAGCTAAATACCTGTAAAGGCATCTTCCTCTTGAGGGAACACGAGAAATCGCTGACGAGGAATTCTTCGGGAGGCAGTCCGAAATGTTTCTGAAAAGTCGAATTCCTATGAGGTGAACGCAGGTTCAACTGCACCACAAATAACGCTTGGTTAAATTATTTCACTATCATCATTTTAACCATGGTTAATTTCACTTACACACCCCTTTTTTTTTTCATCCTTTTACCTTCTTTCCCACCTCCTTCCCCAGATTAGCTAGATAATCTCTAATCGTTTCGACTCCATTATTATTGTCCAAGAAGATCCTCAAGTGCAGCTTCGACTGACAAGACTGAGCCAGTTTTCCGTCAAGCGGGACCCACAGATCCGCCAGCTCAGCAGACGTGTGCTTCAAGAAATTGATCTCAGCATGGCCCAACGAAGAAACTTGGTCAAACGGACCGTCGAAATCGAAGACTTCCAAATCCAAAACTGAAGGAGGTTCTTCCACAGCATCAAACTCGAGTATCTCTGCATAAATCGCCGAAAATTAAAATCAAGAACGAACATAAAAATAATAAAGTAAAAAATAAAAACATGAGGATTTTTTTTTACCGTTCCATTGAGGATCTAGTGCTTGGAGCTTGACAGAGCTCGTTTTTGTCTTGCCATTACAAGTGAAAACAACGTAAGGATCTGGCGTTTCTGTCGAGTTCGTCGAAGCTAAATTTGCTCCCTCGATTAATGCTACTGTAAGAACCCATCCATCACCTCGTGCTTTGATTCCATGATCATTTTCTGTATACAATAAAAATAAAATTAAAAAATAATAAATAATAATTCGACAACTTCGGAATGTAATTGACTAAAGTAGTTAAGTTACCTCTTCGTAGGGTAGCTTCAACAAAATACAAAATCATGTAATAAACTCTCTCCAACTGAAGAACCAAAACCGCACATGTGATAATTTCTCCAAAACTATCGGGCAAATCGAGCCCACCAAACTCCAACCCTCTCAGCTCGTGGGACCCACACAGAAATATATGAACAAGAACATACAACAACATAAAAACAGTCGACACCACCGTAAAATTCCAGAAATACTGAACCGCCAATTCCAAACAAGACTTATGCTCTGTTTCAAGATTCGCCAACATTTGATCCTTGTCTGAAATATCTTTTACAACTTTAAACCTTTGAGAAAGTAAACTCAAGAACTGATCGAAGCTCTCTTTCAAACCCTGCCGGGCCCCACCTTCAATCATCCCTTTCATCATTGTCTGTTGACTGAAGTTGACCGCCCACGACACTACAAGACGAGCAGATTCCTCCCCCGAAGATGATGACATCATCACGCCACCCGGGATTATTTTATAAAGTAACTCAACCTTAAAAGTATTTCCGTACGGAACATCGGGAGTGCTTACAATAACATGAATGGCAAATTCGTTATTATTATTCGCCTTGATATAAATTTGCTCTTCGGTGGCTTTCACCGCCTTAACTAATTTCGTCGCTGCTTTAGTATAAGTGACAACTCTTCTCAAACAAGATTTGCCACCTTCTTCCGATATTAACTTCCATGGTTCCTCGTGAATATCTGTCGTACCCTGCAATTCTGCCAAATTTGTCATGAAATCCGAATTAGGTGCGAACAGAATCTTGTTAAGATCCTTTGGAGATACCCCAAAAGTTTGATCGAGAAGGATCCCACCCGGAAGATTCTCCGGGGTTTCATTGTTCCCGTTTGTGGATTTCACCAGTTCGATTGATTCTTCGAAGGTGCAAGAGGTTTCCGAAGGTTCCGGTGCGGAGTCCTCGTGGTCCGATGCGGCGGCGGACACTTCGGAGGAGGAATTGTCGCTCGTTGTCGGTATTTCGTCTTTTTTGTGCAAGAGTTTCTCCAAACGGCCAGCAAGTGATTTCATCAAGTGTTTGCTTTCCCCTATCTTTCTTGATGAATGAGAGTCGTTGGATGAAGTGAGCTTGCTTTCGTTTGAATGGTCTTGATCGCCCCCGTGTAGGGATAGAGATAGAAGAAGCTTGCCTACATCTACATGACAAAATCTCATATCAACCGATCGAAATTGAAAACTGATTTGCATTGTTCATCAAATGTCGAAATCGACTAATATTTAGTATTCAAGAAACTCTGCAAAAACAAACACATCAAGATCATTAACAAAAGGGCTACTACTATTCAGTAATGAGATCTTCATAATTTTTTTTTCTGAAAATTATTTAAATGATAACCGAATTATCCTTAAATTCTAGCTACAATAAATGGCAATTGTAAGATATTTAAAACCCAATAGAAACATAAGCCATTTTCAGTACGAACTATCTACGGGTATTAGGCATCAAAGTTTGGATTTTTATAGACAATTAAAAAAATTTGTATTATCTCATGTACTTGAAAATCAATTAACAATGTAGCACGGAAACTTCATCTTCTTAACATTTTCACATTTCGGACACGTTTCGTGTCGGACACTCGAGGACACCTGCCAACACTTTATGGGTCATTTTGCAATTTATAAAAAGTTAGAAACATGTTTGAATAGCAAATTCTCAAATATTTTTGCTGTTTCCCTAATTATTTAGACGATTTTATGATCAGCTGCAAATTGCAAATTGATAGTTGAAAATTTATTCTGAATATATTTGTATGAAAATATATAAAAAAAAATTACATAAATAAAAACTTAAATATGTTTATATAGCATATACCCCTATAATTTAAATATTTACACGTCTCCCCAAGCTCCCGTATCCCATTTTTGGATGGATACGCCGTTCCCCGTATCACCGTTTCCATTTTTCAAAAATATATTAATTTTAATTAACTCTTCCACAAGCAAATGTATCCAATGTGGATCTTCAAACACCATAAAAACATTTTGAAGCCATGAATAAAATTGAAACCAGTTGCCACCAAGTTACCAAACACCACTTGCAATCAGCTGTCACGGGGCCATGGCCCCCCACCGCCTCTCGAAAACTCGATATTTGTACAAAGATTTTACTATTTTTGCAGTAAAATAAAATTACGATTGCATTACTCAAATAAGCTACATTTCCACAAGAAAAAAAAAATCCAATTAAAAAAAAATAATAAAAAACGAAAATCAGAAAACTAACCACAATCATTGTCGATGAATTTAACACTCTTCGGCCTCTCGACGGAGAACCAAGTGGGCGGCAGGTTCCGATTCTCCTCGGCGGCGACGCTCCAAACCGGAATCTTAACCCGACCGACGAACTCGCCGCCGGAATTACCGAACAAGCCGTGGTCGCGATCGTCGTACCTGTACACAGACACCGCGAGCTCGTCGTCCAGATCACAAACCCTAAAAACAAACTCCTCATTCCAAATTGAATTTTCATTGCTCTTCAAAACTCTGCTCTTTGACTTGTACTTGCCGATTTTCAGCTTCACGTAGTAAGACTCCTTCACCCCCAATCCTCTCCCCTCCAACAAATACACGCACAGCCTCATTTTCTCTCTCTAGAAAATAAAAAAATACACGTCCAAATACGTCGTCGTTTTGGAATTGAATTGAATTGAAGATGGCCGTTTTATGGGGAAGTGTAGACGGCGGAGGAGTGGTGGATTGTGGGTGAAATTCACCCATGAAGAAAGTACGTGGGTGTACGCTAAAGGTGACACGACGAAGAAAAAGAAAGAGGAGAATCAAATTAAATAGTGATGACTCATGGTACACTTGTTAATGCGGGAGGTACAATTTATTTCCAATGAAGCCGGTTCGGTGTGGAGTTTTTTTAGCCAGCCGGAAAAAAGAAATGTTTAATTCTTTTTGGATGTTTTTTTTTTTTTTGTTTTTTAGGTTTATTGATTGAAATTTCAATTTTCGATCCGATTAAAGTTCCGAAAATAATTTCAAAAATTCTAATTTTTTTTTTGGATATTACAATTTTAAATACCAATATTATTATGTATTTTATTTTTAAGGTGAGCAAAAAATCAAATTCCATCGATTCCAATTCGAAATTTTCTGATTTAGAAACAAGTTTTTTTGTTTCGAAATTCCGATTTTTCTGATTTTTTTTAGAATGGAATTGGAATTAGTTTTTCATTTTCGAAAAAAATCGATTTTTTAAAAAAACTAACTTCGATCTGTTCCGTCTGAGTTATATTGGCTCAAGATTTTGTGACTCTAAAGTATGAGTTAGTTTGGAGATTGGTTTTTCTTACTCCATACATGTTGTTGAGTGTAGATTTTACGCTCAATACGTTTACTTTACGTGGATCTTTTGTTTAGATTTAATTATATTTGTGCTTTAGATTGATTTTGTGTTTTATAGATGAAAACGAGAATCAAGTGTCCATGAAGGAAAAAAAATCAAAAAAAAAAAGGAAAAGGTTGTAAATAAGTAAATAAATCAAATTGGAAGAAGGAATATCGCCACACCTTGGGCATTGTCCACCATTTCGAGCATATCTCTCTCATACAAACTCCAAATCAGCTGATTTTGGCGGCATTGGAAAGCTAATTTCAAGGGCTACAATTCTTATTCACGCAACATTCCAAAATTCGGACTCCAACATGGAGAAAATCGAAGAACAAATTATGATGGGGGAAAGTGGCGGAAATTGATTCATATTAGGTTTCTACTACTTCCTTATCAAGAAAAGCCTATAAAAGCAACAAGTCTCTACACCATAAGCACAAAATTTTACACCACAAAACGCGAGGAACGAAGATCAACGAAGACTCAAGCATAGTTTTTCTTATTTAATTTATTTATTTTATTTTATTTATCATAAGAATCACGATTAGCTAAGTCTTTATTTCTAGGATTTTATTTGGAGCCATGTGTGGGATTTATGAACCATTTTCTATGATTTTATGCAAGTTTTAATTCCGAATTATTTCTTCTACTTGTTTTATTAAGTGCATGAACTTGATCACCTTGTGTGTTTTTATGTTATTGTTAATCGCATGAATCGGAAGATCGGGTTAATAATTGAAACTGTGGTAGAAGAGCATTTGTGATATTAACATAGAAATATAGTTAATCTCTTAACTAGCCATTATTGAGATTTGTGCTTAATGCTATGTTCTAGAATTAATTGCGTAGGAATACAGTAACTGAATCTAGGGTATTAGAATTGTAATACACGCGGAAGCGGGTTACGATTAATTTAGCATCTCAGGTTAATACTTCGGGTTAATTGCTTGCATAATTGAAGGAATTGGGGAAATAATAATCACATAGGGGGGAGAATAAAATCCTAGGCTTGTCTACTTTGATTAATCTTCGTGTTTAAATTCCTTTCTTGTTTTTGTCCTTTTAATTTGCTTAATTAATTTAGTTAATTTTCTCTATAGTTGACTGTGTAGGATGGACTTGATAATAATTATTAGGATTTAGCGTCTAGGATTAGATAATTTCGAACTTAATTGTCCACTATATTACTTGTACGAGACTTGCACTTATGTGTATGTATTACATCCAACATATTGCTACTTTTAATGTACTACTATCCTAACTTCTTTCAACATCATTCTTACTTAATGGTGAAGGCAAGAGAGATATTTTGTAAGAAATTAAATAAAAAAAAAAGTTATATTGAAATGAAGCATTTGGATATGCTTGTGGACTTGCAGGCAAAATTGGTCCATCAGCAATCTTGTAGTGTTGCTTATTTTGGATTTTTGTAAAGCATTAATAATAATAATAATAAATAAATAAATAAGTGGATAAAATCCATTTAATATCTGCTACATCATTCATCTGAAAAATTACATTTTAGTCCATCGAGTTTGTATTGGTTTCACATTTGATCCCCTATATTAAAATAAAACACACTTGATTCCTCAGTTTCCACAATTTGATATTTTTGGTCATTTCGGTTAATTTAGCGTTAGTCTGCCAATGAAAGGAGTGGTGGACACATGCTTAATTCCATTAGTACTAACAAAAAAATTATCGAAAATGATCAAAAGTGTTAAGTTATTGAAACATAAGGGGACTAAATCTATTTTTGTGACATGAGGACCAAATGTATAATTGATGTAAATTTGCGCGAGAAAGGTGTAATTTTCCCATCATTCGCCCTATTACCTTCGTGATAGACTTCAAAATCTTGTTTGGTTATTAAGATCACATCAGTAGCGGAAATCGAACGAGATTAGCACTTTTGAATAAATTCTAATTTTTTAAGTACATAATTAATTCTAAAATTTGTTATATGAAAATCAAAAAATCAATTTTTTTTTTAATTTTTTTTGAATTGGAACGGGAAACTTTGTTCTAAAATCAAAACGTTGCGTATAAGAATAGATAAATTTAAATATTTATTTTATATATATTTATATAAGTATTGATATTATAAATACAAATTTCAGGGAAAAATAAATTATTAGAAAACTAAAATCAAATCGAAATTCAAAATTTTCTGAAATTGTAAATAAAATAAAGAGGGTGTTTGGCTAAGCTTATAAGATGTTTTAGAGCTTATAAGCTCTTCCAAAGTGTTTGGTAAATTTTTAGAAAAAGATCTTAATTTTTTAAAAAAATAAGCTGTTGGAGAGCAAATAAGATCTTTTTAAATAAGTAACTCTACTCCACTTTTTATTGAAGATCTTTTAATGAGTAAAAATAGGAAATAAGTCCATTATCCAAACACTCTAAAAATTAATCATAAAAATAAGATGTAACAGCTTATCAGCTCTTAAAACATCTTATCAGACGTAACAGCTTATCAGCTGTTTAAAATAAGTTTAGCCAAACACCCTCAAAATCCAAATTCGATATTTATTTGAATAACAATTGGCGGAAATATAAATAAATTTATATATTTATTATTTAGGACAAAGAATAACTATTGGGCGGTCCGGAATTAGGGAGATGGGCCCAAACACAAAAGCCCGAAACAGTTCCATCTAAAACGGGCCCAGCTAGAAAACATAAATCGCCATTTTCAAATTTGAAAGAAGACTGATTAGAATTTGGAAGATCAAAATGCTGCAGTACCCATGGTCGACCCGGGTGATTCCGACGTCGTATCTTCTCCCGGCGCAGTGGCCGCAGCCGCAGAACGACGAGCTCCTCCTCGCCATGGAAGAGGCGGAGTACGAAGAGAAGGTTTCTCTCACTAACCTCTTCTGAAACCCTAACTTCTATTCTAGCGAGCTCCAATTTTTGAAATTGTTATGCTAATTTATGATCCCTGATTGTTAATTGTTGTTGATGATTCTTTCAATTAGTCCAATGCGTAGTTAGATACGATGATATAGTGTGACTCTGCGCGAAAATATTTAGGGTTTCATCCTTGTTAATTTGAAATTTTTACACCAAAATTTCACCCCCCCAAAAAAAAGAGAGAAAATCTATTTGGTGTTTGATGTGGAAGAAATTGAAATTAGCTCAAAATTACCGAATTTGCTATGAACCTGCTTCTAAAGAGAAGAAGACGTTCTTGCGTTTCTCGACCATATACTTCTCTTTATATAATTTTTTTATATTTGTCGATCCATGAGAAGGCTCAATAATCGTTTATGTCAAGTATGTTCGTATCACATTTCAAGAAATCCCGGACTAGACGAGAATACAAACAGGACTTTAGACTACTGTCATATTCTCGTGTACATCTTCACAAATGGAATCTTCTAGTGTTTATGCTCTGAAAGTTGCTACTTTTGCAGTGCAACGAAATCAGGAAGGCAAATAGCAACTCAATCATTATTGGAAAAACCGCAGTCGAGAATGATAAAGAAGATTTCGACAACGATGCTGATGATGACGAAGGTGACAATGCAGAAGAGTCTGAAGGCGACGAATTTGAGCAAGAAACCAGTTGAAAAGCGCGTTGCATTTCCATTTTAGCTGTATCAATCGTAAAATTCTTTGGCTTTTAATGTCCTGCACCTTAAATATGTGTTTTGAGCCTTTTAATATGCTTTTCTCGATTTATAATCGTGTGTAAAAAAAATCGAGTCCAGAGCTGTATTTTTTTTGCCGAAAGATTTCAAGAATATATTCCGAATTAGTTTCAACCTTTAGATTTGATGCCCTTATTCGTTGAATTCAGTTAGACGTGTAAATTGATTCTTGGTTTTATATTCTTTTAATGGAATATGGCATCTTTGGGTTTATCTTCTGAAAACCATTTCCAGATTTGACAAAATCCCAGTTCTGTTGTCCGTTATATGATTCGAACACGACGAAAGCTACATGTGCAGATCTGCATACCTTTTTCTCGGACTGGTTGCTTTGAGAGCTTCTGTGATGTTAACCACAAGTTGAGGAGCATAATCCGACTTAAAAGTATCGTCGCAGGTACAACTTGTGCTACTGTTTTTTTCTATATTCTTTTTCAATCTTTTTTGCTTTTAGAATCGATCGGATAATTCTTTCAATTCCTCTACGTGTGATTCGTGCATTTGACCCTCAATCTGAAGTTATATATGCTTGAGAGATATTCTTTCGTAAGAATATGGCATGTTTGATCAAGTGTCAACGAACGTTTTCCATATTTTTTTCACTCACTTTTATTGTTTGTCAAAGCATTTTTGTGGCATACATATGTTGAAAAATATACACTTGATTGTTTCAAACCGATGACTTATTGAATGATTTTCAAGAAATAGGACCACGTCAAAAAAAAAAAAAAACATTATAAACTTTATATATTTGTATATTGAAAATGTACAATTTTATTTGTTATTTTCTCATTTTTGTTATTTATTTATTAAATTCTTCACATATCATTTCATCTCATAAAGATCAATATATGCAACTTGCATAAATAGCAAAATGAAAAATAACTAGAACAGAGACACTTCCACTGTTCCACAATGCCCCGAAGGAACCGTTTGGAATATTCCTCCGAGATCCTTTTTCTTTTTCCTTTTTTTTAATCTTTTTTTTTTTTTTTTTTTTTTTTTCCTTTTTCTTAATGTAAAAAAAAAAAAAAATTGCGGGATTATGTAATATGGTTGAATATCAACATTTCATTTAACAAGAAAATGTCATAATCATGGGTCAATTCATTTACAGTTTTCCCCTAGTGTGGCCCTCTATTTCAACATTCTCCTGGTTGGCCAACTTGCCTAATTCCTAACACCATTATTTTGAACCATATACTATTTTTATTTGCTTTTAATCATCTAGGAAAAATCTAGATGCTCAAAGATAAATTCTTCATATCAATTCATTGCATGTTCTAACGTCACAATCACTCTTTGATTAACGGAGCGTGGGATGGGTCGGGTCGGGTCGGGTCGAATTACATAAATGGGTTGATACTCGTATTTGAGAATTTGAGCATATAATAGTATCAATCTTCTCTAAGATAATATTTTACAATCTTGCGATAAGTCAAATGATAAGTCATATACATAGGGGTGTGTATGTGATTATGTTCAGATCAACGGTTAAAAATCATCCGCTGTAATTTTTCAGCTGTCGTTACGCAATCATTCTTAATTCCGTTGGTAATCTTATTATTATTTTTAAGGTAATTTTAACAATCATTTTGGTTGAATCCATCACTTTAACGCCACCTCCTTTGACCTGCAGATTGCCAAGTAAAAACAAAATTTAGTCAACACCCAAAATGTAAAAGTAATTAATTAAAATTAAAAAATAATCAAGAAGAATTAAGAAACTAATTAAATTCCTCCTTTTTCCTTTTTTGTCCTTTGCCCTAATCGACGCGAGTGCCACGCGCGCACCCTGCTAACCAAAAAGATCCAAAAGCAGAAAAAAGAAAACTTAACACCACCCCCCTTATCACGTCACGTGGCCACAACACAAAACGACGCCGTTTAGCTGAGACGAAACCACGCCTCACCACTGCCCATCACGTGGACGAGACAAAAAGAATCAACGCCACCCCTTCGCCGCCGCAATGAATAACGAGTTACGGCGGTCCACGGCGATTAAAAGTTCCTCTTTAATTAATTCCGATAACAGCCAAAAATAACAGACGTAAAACGGAAATCCGCCATGGGAGAACAAATATCAAAACCTCGATAAACGATGAATTTACCATTCAACGACCAAAATTTTTGTATAGTCCGATTTATAGAATCAAAGAATTTTTCAAGCTCTACTGAGTATTTACAGATGTATAAAAAGTCACTGGATAATATTTCTCCCTTTCACTTTTGTTATTTGCCAAAAAAAAAAAAAAAGAAGAAGCAGCATCTCCACCACTAAAATTGTAAAATCTGTTTTTTTTTTTTTTTTTTATATATACTATCAACGAGAATAATTCCGGGGAGGCAAATGGTAAAATTGGTTTGGAGTTGACGATTCACAGCACCAGGTTCTCCCGGCGGCGACGGGATACGCGACGGCCGGAGAATGACAGGGTTTAACGGCGGCGAACGGCCGGGATACGTAATTGCGGGCGGCGGACTGACCTCTGAACTGCTGTTTTGGAGCGGAGGGGAAATCGAAACACGACTTAGGAGACGACGGACGAGGGTAGGGTTTACCGGACTGAGATTTGAACTGCGGTTTGGGAGCGGCTGCGGGGAAATCAAAACACGACATTGGAGACGACGGCGGAGAGACTTTCTTCAGCGATTTCACCGGAAAAAGCACCGCCCTGATTTTCTCCTCCGGCGAGGCTCTTCCGTACTCTTCTACCACAATCCGGAGTTCTTCATCCGACTTAATCGTAACCAACACATCCAGATCTTCCGTCGGTAACTTGCACGTCAAATTCATCGACGAACCACACGATTCCCCAAATTTCACAATCAGCTCTGTAGAAACAAATCAGATTACACATTAATAATCATCATCGGAAAATCAATCACAAAATCAATTGAGTTGATTAATATATATTCGCCTGAAGTACCTGAATAGGTAATCGACCGATCGACGGCGAGGACACGTGTGTAGCCGCCGACGTAACGGAGCTTGCCGTCAATGGGGCGGGGGATGATTCTGCCGCCGTAGCTGTAGAGGAATTTGATTGTTTTCACCGATTCGGTATTTGAGTTCACCATTTCAGTCAATTCTAGAGAGAGAATGTGTATAGAGAGAGAGAGAGTGTTGAAGAAAGGAAAAGCTTGAAGAGAGAGAAAGAAGAGAGAGAAGAAGACTTGGTTGGGACTTTTGAAGAAACAGAAGAAACGTATATGAGGCGTATTTATAGAGTTTTTTTCGCGACCCAAAGTATTGAATAAAATTATATAATTCAACACGGAGCAGGATTTGTGACCATTCTTATACGATTATTCGGATATTCTTTTGTTGGCTATTTCTAAACTCCAAAGTTAGGGTGTGTTTGGTAACGAGGATTGGTGAAATAAGAATAAGATAAAATAAGTATATTTGATAAAAGGAGAGTTGTTATTTAGAAAAGAAAAAGTGCTAACACGTTTTGTGTTCTTTATAACGCGTTATTAGTTATGTTTTATTTCAATAGTGTGTGCAAAAGAATTTGAGAATAAGAAATTTGGTGATTGTGACTAGAGCTATAAATAAATCGAATACAATTCGACTTATAGTTGTTTAAATGAGCAACTTAGTCGCGCTCGAATCTAATTTGATGTGCTCGAGTTCGAATAGAACTTCGTAACTTCTAAGATAGATTCCACAAAACGAGTTTTTAATGAACAATTTTAATTCAGTATCTAGTTTAATTTTGATTTTCAGCCTAATTGTGACTAATTTTTGTATATTTGCTTATTTGTAAAAGTGTGGATATTTGAAAGTGTTAATAAAAATCAAATTTAGACCAAACTTTTTTTTTTTTTGGATAAATTGTCAAAAGTAACCCTAAATGTGAATTTTGATATAATGTGAATATAAATTTTAAATGCAACTTTAAACCTAAAAAGCTATTGCATAGCTCTTAAGATTGTGGTTTAAAGCAATTTATTAAGATGGTGTTCACATAAGATTTTGAATATTGATCAACTTTGTTTTTGCTAACAATTAACTATTTAATGTTTGTAAACCTTTTGCTTTTGTTTCTTTAAAACTAAACTGTTTTACGCCATAGTCGGATAAGCACCATCCGAACTACTGTTTCAGATTTAACATTTTCACTATAATCATCATTATCCAAAATCAACTCTATTAAGTGAATTTAGACATTTCAACAAAATACGCAAAAAAAAAAAATATTTACAAACACGTCAACTTCAAAATTAATTATTAAAGTTGATTTTCCCTATTATTCACAAGCAACCCCAATTTATAAAAAAAATAATTGATTACTTTCAAGTTTCTCTATAATAATCATTTTTTACTTTTATCAAAAGGCAAAAATTAAATTCACAAACACAAAAACTAATTGCAGCTTAAAAAAAGAAACTCATAAGTTAGAAATGAATAATAATATCGTAATATTAATTATTAAGTAACCAACCAAACAGTCCTCATAAAAAAAGGAAAAAATAAATAAAATAAAATAGGGTTAATAGCACTTAACCCCCTGTGGTTTCCACGTTGTGCACTTTACCCCCCTCTGATATCAATTTAAGCACTTAGCCCCCCTGTGGTTGTCAGTTTGTAGCGGCCGTCTAATATTCCGTTAAAGTTAATGGCAAGTGCATCTTACTCGCCCAAAATTGAAGTGGTTGAAGGTTTTGCAAGCTAAAATTCGTGATAATATCCATATTGCCCCTTTTCCTTCAATAAAAACCCCTACACCAATCTCTCATTTTTCTTTTAATTAAAAAAACAAAATAGATTTTTTAAAATTCTATACTATATAATTTTTTGAATTTTAAATTAATTACTGTTTAAATACATATGAACTTTTTTACAGCTAATAATCATCATCTGCTATGCTATGGGATGAAAACATCAACTGAAACTAAAAAATAAAATTATATATATATACATACACACATATATCTATATATATATATAAAAGAAATCAATTTAAACATTAGAAAAAAAAATCCCTAAAATAATCAGTTACAAAATTAGGTTTAAATAATGGCTGATTGATTTATACAGCATAATAAAAAATACTACGAAAAAAAGTAAAAATAGAAGAAAAAAACAGATGTAAGAAAATGGAAAATCTGGATGATGAGGATTTTGATCGACCCGCCGCCGATGAAAAAAAACGCACGTTTCTTTCTGGAAAATTCCGGAGGCCATAATCTGCCTGGGGTTCCGGCTTCCCATTTACATACCCCCTCCATCACCCAACTCAATGCCTCGATTCAAGATTCTCAAATCTAATTTATTCTCTGTGTCTACAATAATACAAAATACTTATATTTCTGAAATCGTAAAATATCGAACCCCCAACCAAATTCTCTCAATGTAATCATACGTAACATAGAATTATCAATATTCTTCACAAAATTGAGGACTTCAAAGAAGAATCGAAACCCTAGGAATTTGAGATGTTTGCCCGAGAAGACAAAAAAACTCGAACATTGGTTTTTGACATGAAATCTTTGGGCTTTTTCCTCTGTTTTTTGGATGTAATTTTCTGAGTTTTCTTGGAATTTTTTTTTTAAGGGGTCTGGAACAGTTCAAGAGGATTCGAAGGCGAGGAGAAGAAGCAATTCTGATAATTGTAATTTAGTCCTATGAATTGGTGTTATTTCTAATTTAATGCAATTGAATTTTTATTTATTTATAAAAACAAATATAACCTGCAAATAGTTGGAAAATAATGGGGCAGTTCAGATATTTAACATTTTCAGTTAACTTTAACGGTGTATCTGACGGCCGCTACAACTTGTCAACCACAAGGGGGTAAAATGACCAAATTGATATCAGAGGGGGGTAAAGTGCACAACGTGAAAACCACAGGGGGGCTAAGTGCTATTTACCCAATAAAATAAAAAGAAATCCTATGGTCCAATATGAATGAGATTAGTGGCAGCAATGAGGTGGCGGGTTGGGAATCTAGTAAAGTGTTACAAGAAATTGCAACCCCTATTTGATCGCCACGTGGAATTTAGGTTTAGCCGGTAACGTGCCGGGATCGGCGGGGTCGGTCTGGTAAGATGAGCCCCACAGCTAGTCGGTTTTGCCGGTTGCCGGTTACCGGTTCAACCCGAACCCGTTTATTATGTTAACAGCCTTCTCTGTATTTTTCTGCAACTCCTTTTTTTGTCGTTTTATTTTATTTTTTTCCCCAAGGGAGATGGGCGGTTTTATGGTAAGGATCGATGGGGGCCCGGCCCACATGAATTGTCGTTACACTTTTATTTTTAAATAATCATTATTTTTTATAACAATATTTGCTTTTTAGCAAAATATATGGATATTGTTTTTTAATATATAGTTAACCTTTTATAAATTAATATAATTGAGATTATTTTTTTTTAATTAATTTAACAAACTACTAAATTATCGAGTTAATAATTTAGCATGTTCTCTACGAGCTGAGTTTGGAAGTAATTATATTTAAACAAGGTTATTAATTATTTTATCGATATTCTACTTCATTTCTTTTAGGGCTATAATAAATGTTGTTTATGTTTCGATTTCAAATGTAATTTTGACTGTTGTTTAGCCTGAATTGGGCAAAATTGAAAACACTGAATTTGTAGGTCTTTGAGTTAGCTTGCTAATTCAACTTGAATCACGAGTCTTGGGTGTCGGATGAGAAAAATATGCATAAATGAACTCACACTACCTACAACTTTATATTTTGAGTTATGCAAAGTTCAAAATATAATTGATTCAAGCATAACTTTGTTATCGGATATTCAAATTATTTGATTCAAGTTGGATTAGAAAGCTAAGTTAAAGAACTGCAGTTATCGCGTTTGAATTTTGCCAAACTATAGCTAAAAAATGGCCAAAATCACGTTCGAAACAGTATTAGTAAAATTGAATCGACATTTTTCGCATGGTAATTACATTTATATTATATTTCTACAATCTTAACTGATGTTAGAAAAAATTATATTTTGTAAGGATCAAGAAAATGAGATTGTCATTATTGTTTTATTTATTTATTTTTAGAAAAATAGATTACCATTGTTTAAAATGATTGAACAAAATCACAAATAATTAGTTAGCAAATTGCAATTGGTATTTGGTAGAATCAATTCATTATAAGAAATGCATTTAAGTCATATAATTCTTATTAATCATTGTAATTTGCACCCAAAAAAAGTTGTAATTGTTTGAGAATACACAAACTAGTACATTACTTTTGTAAATTCACAGTTTGCCCCAATATATTTATAGCATTGTCATTTAGCCCCCCAAATCTGACGTTAGCCGTTAGACGGTCATTTTCTTCTCCCATAGTCCCATAAATGGTCCCTAATTGTGGGCAATGAATTGATAGAATCTGGCAACATTATCTGTTGCGTGAGATTGATGTGATTTATGACCAAATTACCCTTTTCTCTCTTATCTAAGATTTCAAATGTCATTTTTGTCCTTTATCTCAAAGTTATTATTAGATTCTAAATTTTGAATTTATTAATTAAAAAAATAGGGCATAATTCCAATTTGTACACTTGATATGTAGATTTTTGACACTTTCCATCATCGATAGTAAGAGCAACTCCAACAACATCATGTATACCTATAATTTGCACTTTTTGCACAATTTCAACCCAAAATCACATCTCCAACAGCAAAATGGAAAAAGGCAAAATTTGCTAGATTTCAACTTTGCATATTCAAAATTGAGAAACCAAAATTACAATTTAACAAATTGGGTAAACATAAAGAATAATAAAAATTCCACACCCCATCCCTTTCAACCACAAAATCTGCAGTAATAAACTCCAACTGCCAATATCAACTACCAATTTAATTCATCAACCACCACTGTACAAAAAATTAACACCAATCAACTCTATAAATTGTGGTATTTGGTTTCATAAACAATCACCCTCAACTAAAAAAACACCTGCATCTGAAGAAAAATTAAAGAGGTAAAACAACTTACATAAAATTTGAGTCTATCAATGGAAGATGGTAGAACTAGTTCTCTACCACCACTCCCCTATTGGATGAGAGTCGCCATAAATTTTTCTCTTTTTATTTTTATTTTTATTTTTTCCCCTTTTCTGTTTCCCTTTCTTCTTCTAGTTTTCTGCGTCTCTTCTGCTGGGAATTTGTGGCAGAAATAATGAGATATAGAGAAAGCCCTATAAAGTAAAAACAATATATTGACTTAATATATTTAATGCGTATTGTTTTTTATAAAAAGAGGAGAGTCATTGGCTAGTTTTTTGGTCCATTGGTGCTATTTTAAAAAATAATTAAATTTATAGTTATTATTTTCCACATAATATGTTTCCATGTATAATTGTAATTAATAAAATAATGAGTGCTTAATTCTTTTAATATACGTATACGGTGTATATATATAATTAAATTTTCCTTTTCAATATATTTTAAAATTAATTCAAAACTAAAATGTTGTAAAATAATAAAATATGATAA